AATTTCAATTTGAGCCATACAGTGATTGAGCATAGTTTCATTTCTTATTTCTTCCAGGCAAGATCAATTCACTTCACTATTACACTGTCATTATACCAGAAGGTCATCTGACGGGACATACATATGACAGTTGTCAATGGGAGCAGATTTTATGACATGTAAACTCTTCAGAGTGAATGCAGGTCATATAACCCACTCTTTCTATAACTTAGATGGCGCCTGCATTCACTCTGCACATTCATGTATTACAAATGGTCTAATAAATGGGACATTTGAAGCGGTTGATGTCAGTATACACATACAGTGCATCCGGAAAGTATTCAGACCACTTAACCTTTTCCACATTTTGTTACGTTACAGCCTTATTCTAAAATTGATTAAATTGCCCCCCCTCCTCCCCTCCCCTCATTAATCTACAGACAATACCCCATAATGACAAGGCAAAAACAGGTTTTCAGATTTTTTTGCAAATCTATAAAAAATAAAAAACTGTAATATCACATTTACAGAACTACTCAGACCCTTTACTCAGTACTTTGTTGAAGCACCGTTGGCAGCGATTACAGCCTCGAGTCTTCTTGGGTATGACGCTACAAGCTTGGCACACCTGTATTTGGGGAGTTTCTCCCATTCTTCTCTGCACATCCTCTCAAGCTCTGTCAGGTTGGATGGGGAGCATCGCTGCACAGCTATTTTCAAGTCTCTCCAGAGATGTTCGATCGGGTTCAAGTCTGGGCTCTGGCTGGGCCACTCAAGGACATTCAGAGACTTGTCCCGAAGCCACTCCTGCGTTGTCTTGGCTGTGTGCTTAGGGTCATTGTCCTGTTGGAAGGTGAACCTTTGCCCCAGTCTGAGGTCATGAGCGTTTTCAGAAGGTGAACCTTTGCCCCAGTCTGAGGTCAGGTTTTCAGCAAGGATCTCTCTGTACTTTGCTCCGTTCATCTTTCCCTCGATCCTGACTAGTCTCCCAGTTCCTGCCGCTGAAAAACATCCCCACAGCATGATGCTGCCACTACCATGCTTCACCGTAGGGATGGTCCAGACATGACGCTTGGCATTCAGGCCAAAGAGTTCAATCTTGGTTTCATCAGACCAGAGAATCTTGTTTCTTTTTTGAGTCCTTTAGGTGCCTTTTGGCAAACTCCAAGCGGGCTGTCATGTGCCTTTTACTGAGGAGTGGCTTCCGACTGGCCACTCTACCATAAAGGCCTGATTGGTGGAGTACTGCAGAGATGGTTGTCCTTCTGGAAGGTTCAGACATCTCCACAGATGAACTCTGGAGCTCTGTCAGAGTGAGCATTGGGTTCTTGGTCACCTCCCTGACCAAGGCCCTTCTCCCCTGATTGCTCAGTTTGGCCGGGTGGCCAGCTCTAGGAAGAATCTTGGTGGTTCTAAACTGTTCTTGGGGACCTTCAATGCTGCATATATTTTTTGGTAGCCTTCCCCTGATCTGTGCCTCGACACAATCCTGTCTCAAATCAAATCAAATCAAATTGTATTGGTCACATGCGCCGAATACAACAGGTGCAGACATTACAGTGAAATGCTTACTTACAGCCCTTAACCAACAGTGCATTTATTTTAAACAAAAAAGTAAAAATAAAACAACAACCAAAAAAGTGTTGAGAAAAAAAAAGAGCAGAAGTAAAATAAAGTGACAGTAGGGAGGCTATATATACAGGGGGGTACCGTTGCAGAGTCAATGTGCGGGGGCACCGGCTAGTTGAGGTAGTTGAGGTAATATGTACATGTGGGTAGAGTTAAAGTGACTATGCATAAATACTTAACAGAGTAGCAGCAGCGTAAAAAGGATGGGGTGGGGGGGCAGTGCAAATAGTCCAGGTAGCCATGATTAGCTGTTCAGGAGTCTTATGGCTTGGGGGTAGAAGCTGTTGAGAAGTCTTTTGGACCTAGACTTGGCACTCCGGTACCGCTTGCCGTGCGGTAGCAGAGAGAACAGTCTATGACTAGGGTGGCTGGAGTCTTTGACAATTTTGAGGGCCTTCCTCTGACACCGCCTGGTATAGAGGTCCTGGATGGCAGGAAGCTTTGCCCCAGTGATGTACTGGGCCGTACGCACTACCCTCTGCGTCTCGGAGCTCTATGGACAATTAATTCGACCTCATGGCTTGGTTTTTGCTCTGACATGCACTTTCAACTGTGGGACCTTATATAGACAGGTGTGTGCCTTTCCAAATCATGTCCAATCAATTGAATTTACCACAGGTGGACTCCAATCAAGTTGTAGAAACATCTCAAGGATGATCAATGGAAACAGGATGCACCTGAGCTCAATTTAGAGTCTCATAGCAAAGGGTCTGAATACTTATGTATTGATTTTAATACAAAAATTAGCAACAATTTCTAAAAACCTTTTTTCGCTTTGTCATTATGGGGTATTGTGTGTTGATTGATGAGGGAAAAAATTAATTTAAATCACTTTTAGAATAAGGCTGTAATGTAACAAAATGTGGAAAAAGTCAAGGGGTCCCAAATGCACTGTAAATACATGAATGTTTGTGCACCAATTGTCTCTCCGATTCATAGTCCACAGGCCTGCTTGTGATGTTATGGGTGAATGCCTCAGCCTTCGATGTTGGCCCTGGTTTCTTAGCAGCATGTTAAAATCCCAACACTTGAAGGAGAGAGAGGGTAGCCAGGTCACATGACCCATAGCGAAACGGGTCTAACAGTGCAGACATTGTGTGCGTTTCTATTGGTGTTTAGCGTACGTGTTCAGCTTTTCCCAAAAATGAATGCTCAATCCTCACATGCAAATAAAGGACGCCAAAGGTATTACATTATTTTCTTCACATCTCCGCCAATGGTCCCTTCTCTCTCCTCCGCTCGCTACACTCTTATGCCAGCTAAAGGTGAGGTGTGAGAGGCAGATGCACTAACACTAGCTCTGCTGTGAGGAAAGGTAATGAAAGGAATACAAGGGGGAGAGGGATGTAGAGAGGGAGAGAGAAAGGGGTAATTGCCCTCTAATGGGGAGAACACTAGTATTCAAGGCACCTTACACGAGCAGTCAATTACTCTGCTGTCGTTTCCTGTTATTTTCTCTCTATAGGGTGGAAGTGTACTCAAATATACTGAAAGCTCTCACTCCCTTAGCTTTAGTGATAATAGTTCAGTAGTGAATGTGTCAGAGGTAGAGCAATGGGTCATTGGAAACTAACGTTATTATGGTTGTAGTGGCTTCATACTAGGCCGACTGCCATTTAGCTTGATATCAACTGAGAAATAAAGCACAGCTCTACCCTATTCTTACAGGGACATCCAAATATCATATAGGTTACACTAACAGACATGACCTGGTACATCGGGTTACTTTAACCTTTAAATGATCAAATACAGAAAGAATCTTGTTTTCCTGCTGTTTCCCCAACAGTGACCACCTGCTCCCAATCTTTAATAGTATTGTAAAGGTCACTCAGCTCTATATGACAGGCAAGGCTGAGACCCGCTACAAACACTGTTCTGATCAAACCTCAGCTTTCTAAAATATCATATCCTGTTCTGAAGAGGGAGAGGAGAGTTTGAGACCGCTGGTAACATCACAGTAATGGAATAACATTCAATCACCACAATATCCACAGACTGAATGTTTTATTTCAGAATTAACAGATGAGTAATACAAACTACGGATGAATTAACTCTAAATGTACCTACAGTAATCAAAATACAAAAGCTTGTAGTGTATATCATTTGAAACAGTGTTTGCACAAACCCCAATTCTCACACATTTACAAATCTTTAATACCTCTGCATTAGTGAGGGAGGTCACACTTTATTTGGATAGTCCAGATAATTTGTTGATAGTATGACCACCTGTAGAGCATCTACAGATGGTCATACTATCAACAAAACTATCTGTTGAAAAGCAAACGCTTGCCAAGGTTACGTTTATGGTTTGGTATAAGGGTTAGGATTAGTAGATAGTTGAAATGTTACATATAGTCTGTAGAGCAGTGGTCACCAACTGGTCAATCTCCATGGCATTCCTAGTCAATCGCCAAACATTTCTGTAAAAAACTCAACGATAAGCCTTGCGTTCCTATTTTTTTGTATTAGTCTTGTGCTGTTGGTGGTAGTTGCACCCGATTCAGCTGCCCTGCCCGCCGGTTAGGCGATGTGTTCCCATTTTGAACCATTTCATGTCCCAAGGTACAAAACTCTGCCTTCCGGCAGGCCTGGGGGGAGCAAATCAAGTGCAGCATAGGCCTACCACTGGCCAATCGGATGGCTCAGATTACCATGTCTGCAGTAATGTAGCAGGCGTAAAAGAAAGCTACAGTAAAGTTGATACTGTATGATTTCTAAACTTTTAAAACCATGACCAGAGAGAGACTGTCAACGAATACAGCAAAGAGCTGCTGTTTTTATGAGTGAGTTCATGTTTAAGTTTTTACTCACTTAGTTTTCCCTAGTTCCACTCGCGCTAAAACCAGCACTGCAGCAGCAATTAATAAGTAGGAAAGTGCATCGATAGGCTTGCATTGTTATTATTAGCGGCTTGTTTATTTCTTTTTAAATATCAAGGAATACTTTCTCTGGTCACAGGAGTTACAACATGAATTTGTGCATGAGGCAGAAATAATGCGGTGCGACTCGAGTTTCGCCATCAGCTGGAAGACGGGGTCCCTTTTTGGTCAGTGTCAGTGGAGGAAAGGGAGAGCGGAGGGATGTTGAGAGGCGGACCCTCAGTCTGCTGCTCTCTCCCTCCGCTGAGACTGACCATCAGATGCAGGCACCATCAGCCCAGTAAACAGAAAAAAGCAAATTATTTCAATTTATGCGCAGTCAGCTGTGCTTCACAAGTAATACAACAACAGAACTATTACTGGTGTGATCCTATAGCCTACCTCAAATGTTGAAATTACTACAGTACTGTTTTTAATAGGTTAATGTTGCATAGGCTTCCGTTTTTCTACGGTAAATCTCGGCTTGCATTTTGACTCCGAAACTGATCGACTCAAAAAACTTTGGTGACCACCGCTGTAGAGCATCTACAGATGGACTATCCAAATAAAGGGTTACCGTGAGTGATAGCTTCCGTTTCTTTATAAGATTATTACTTTAACATTTCAACATTTAGGAATTTCATTTCGGGGTCATTAAAACATTTATCATATATGATACATGCAAAACCGTTTTGAGAATAAAGTAAAAGAGCATATTCAATCACAGTCAGTACTTTAAGTGGTGTCTTCCTAATAACGGCATGCAGTATGTGTTTAAATAAAGGCACTTATCTACTAATGAAAGTAGAAAATGGCTAAGTGAATGAGAAGGTCAGGTGTACATGAAATCAAAATAAATATAGGTTAACAAACATTTGTTTAGTAGATAAATGAAACAAGCTTTAGGGATGGAAGCATTAATCACTATACCAAACCTTTTGAAATATTACATTTTAAGAATCAAAAATGGGAATTATCATCAATAAAAATATATAATTAAAATACCAATCATACAATCACGAAGTAAAATCAAACTAATATGCATTAATTTAAGAAACAAAAACAGATACAGTATTTAGTGTATTTTCAAAATGGTAAAACGGCACATACAATAGTTATTAATATGGAACATACATTATTTGGAATAATGGAATCTATAGACAATTATCATAATAGCAATGCTGAATGTCCTGAATTGGTTCGTAGTGCTCTTTGCAAGGGACAACTTCCCTTGTATCATGTAATTGTGGAAAAATGCCTGAAGCGTTTTAATGTGGTACCCCATAAAATGAGTCCTCCCCAACACTGCATATTCAGTCCACATTTCTGTACCTGGTGAAGAGGTTGTACAGCACCCTCAGCGTTGACTTGAGGTCACAGTTCACAATATCTGGGAAATAAGGGAATTAATAATCATATTTGAAAAAACACATATACAGACACCAATCTCTCTAAAAACTGAGATACAGTTGAAGTCAGAAGTTTACATACACTTAGGTTGGAGTCATTAAAACTCGTTTTTCAACCACTCCACAAATTTCTTGTTAACAAACTATAGTTTTGGCAAGTCGGTTAGGACATCTACTTTGTGCATGACACAAGTAATTATTCCAACAATTGTTTACAGACAGATTATTTCACTGTATCACAATTCCAGTGGGTCAGAAGTTTACATACACTAAGTTGACTGTGCCTTTAATCAGCTTGGAAAATTCCAGAAAATGATGTCATGGCTTTAGAAGCTTCTGATAGTCAAATTGACATCATTTGAGTCAATTGGAGGTTTACCTGTGGATGTATTTCAAGGCCTACCTTCAAACTCAGTGCCTCTTTGCTTGACATCATGGGAAAATCAAAAGAAATCAGCCAAGACCTCAGAAAACAATTGTAGACCTCCACAAGCCTGGTTCATCCTTGGGGGCAATTTCCAAACACCTGAAGGTACCACGTTCATCTGTACAAACAATAGTACGCAAGTATAAACACCATAGGACCATGCAGCCGTCATACCGCGTTCTGTCTCTTAGAGATGAACGTACGTTGGTGCGAAAAGTGCAAATCAATCCCAGAACAACAGCAAAGGACCTTGTGAAGATGCTGGAGGAAACAGGTACAAGTATCTATGTCCACAGTAAAATGAGTCCTATATCGACATAACCTGAAAGGCCGCTCAGCAAGGAAGAAGCCACTGCTCCAAAACCGCCATAAAAAAGCCAGACTACGGTTTGCAACTCCACATGGGGACAAAGATTGTACTTTTTGGAGAAATGTCCTCTGGTCTGATGAAACAAAAATAGAACTGTTGTTTGGCCATAATGACCATCATTATGTCTGCAGGAAAAAGGGGGTGCTTGCAAGCCGGAGATCACCATCCCAACCGTGAAGCACGGGGGTAGCAGCATCATGCTGTGGGGGTGCTTTGCTGCAGGAGGGACTGGTGCACTTCACAAAATAGATGGCATCATGAGGAAGGAAAATGATGTGGATATATTGAAACAACATCTCAAGACATCAGTCAGGAAGTTTGGTCGCAAATGGGTCTTCCAAATGGACATTGACCCCAAGCATACTTCCAAAGTTGTGGCAAAATGGCTTAAGGACAACAAAGTCAAGGTATTGGAGTGGCCATCACAAAGCCCTGACCTCAATCCTATAGAAAATTTGTGGGCAGAACTGAAAAAGCGTGTGCGAGCAAGGAGGCCTACAAACCTGGCTCAGTTACACCAGTTCTGTCAGGAGGAATGGGCCAAAATTCACCCAACTTATTGTGGGAAGCTTGTGGAAGGCTACCCGAAACATTTGACCCAAGTTAAACAATTTAAAGGCAATGCTACCAAATACTAATTGAGTGTATGTAAACTTCTGACCCACTGGGAATGTGATGAAAGAAATAAAAGCTGAAATAAATAATTCTCTCTACTATTATTCTGACATTTCACATTCTTAAAATAAGTGGTGATCCTTAACTGACCTAAGACAGGGAATTGTTACTAGGATTAAATGTCAGGAATTGTGAAAAACTGAGTTTAAATGTATTTGGCTAAGGTGTATGTAAACTTCCGACTTCAACTGTAGATTCAATACAAGTAAACATATTTTCTAATAGAATTCCAGCAGGATGTGGTATAAAGGAAATGGTTTGACCATGAGAAATGATTCAGGAACAACACTTCCAACAAAAAAGTACACTGAACATGAATGTGTTTCAACACGCATTAACAGACACTACTACATAATACTAAGGACAGACTAGCAAAGACGTTACGTAAACACACACAAAACCCAAAAAGTTAACATATCCACAAAGGGGCTTGGTGTGTAGTGCTTTTACTTCAGCAAAGTGTGGTATTTACGATTCACTGAATGGATTTGTATATTAGAAGAGCATACAGCCAATTCTCTCAGAGCAGTTCGAGTGGAAGAGAAGTTTGGCTTTATGTGAGAATACTGCCGTCAGGGCTTATTGCCTGACGGAATTCTCACAAAGAAAATACTGACATTAAATTAGGCATCAAATGTATTGCGCCATCATGGTTTTGCACCAAATTTCCATAATCAGTCTTCTTTAAAATAAGAAGAAAAGGATTTTAAAAAATGTACAAATAATACAAAACAATTGTCCATGGCAACTATATAACAGCATCCTAAAGGAGAACACCTACCTTCAGGTCTAGGTTTGGGTCTCTCCAGACCTCCGTCTTGCATCAGCTCAAAGGAGAAGGACACGTTGTGCACCTGCATGAGAAAGACAATGACAGCAAAATTACACAACAGAAGAGCCAGCCACCACAGGTAGGCCTAGAGTATGAGGAAACGGCTCCCAAACCATAACACACCTATACAATTCACACAAGTCATTACAGTTCCCCTACCACAGGTTCCTAGGTGTGCAAACATCAGCTCAATAAACCCATAAGCCCTTTCCAGCTGGACAAACAGTCACTCTGCACCAGGCAAAAAGGAAGGGGGAGGGGTTTCTGTCAGAATGTGGTTGTTGTTTGGTTGAGTTGGTTCATGTAAAAGTGAGGTACTGAGTGTCAGTACAGCACGTGGGAAGTCTTAGAACAGATCAGCTAGGAGGTGAAGGCAATGTAGGAAATATGGAGTGGGTAATTAGTAGCCAAATCTTAAGAGAAAGAGAGAGCTTGAGAGAGAGAGAGAGAGTGAGTGGGAGAGAGAGAGAGACAGCGAAAGAGAAGGAAAAACGAGAGCGTGTTAAATCAAGCAATACCGAGACCGACCATTGGAGGATTCCTTCAGGCGAGTACCAGGCACTCCTATATAGCAGCTGTCCCTGAAAGGACCCCTTGTCCCTGCTCCTCCACCTCTCCCTGCATTAGCGCTAATCTCTTGGCCACTTATTGATTTTCTGTGCAGGAGCAGATTACAGATGCTGCCTGGCGGGTGGGTGCCCACTGCCTGGCACAGCACAGCCTGCTGGAGAGGACCCAGGCTCAGGCCTGACAGGGCGTCCCTTTAGAAAGCCTGCTAAGAATAGCAGTCAAGAGGCTTTGGGTTGCACACTGTCTGTCTGACAGTATGGAATAATCTTCATGATAAATACTAATATCAGCAAATATAATTCATAACTTTGAAGGATTAGCCATCTTGAATTGAACATAATGATGCAAATGATTGAATTCTGTTGTATTCTAATGGATTCCTATAACAATTAGGGCCTGCAAATATTACAATTTGCTGGAAATGTATGAAATGGAACAAAACAAAGACTAATGTGTTCACTGTTGTACTACACAGAGCAAAGATAGAATTTGGAAAAATGGCGAGTAAATGTCAACATACCTGTTGGTCAAAGTTCTCAGGAGTCAGGAAGAAATGATAGAGTGGAACAAAGTAGCCCTCCAGCAGTCCCATCAGCAGAACCAGGTACACACCGTCAGCAAACTAAAGAACAAACAAACAAGGTTATTCATATCAATATACAAGATGAGGTATGATTCTCATTAGATAATTCTAGCTCATACTGTACCTGTGTGTCCAGTTCAGCCACCTCCAAATTGAGCTTGTTCAAGTGTTTGTTCACAAAGGTGATGAGAGTCTGTGGAAACAGCAGTTATTTCTGTGAGGCACACCAACAGTACAACAGAAAACCCTCTACTACAAGTATGAACAAATAACACACACTACCTTTTTCACCACATTGAGCTTGTCTGGAGCATGGTCAAACAGGGTGTCGAAAGCATCTCGCTCTTAATGGACGGAGAGAACAGTAATACCGTTACTCAAAGAAACGAGGTAAAAAGTGACAAGGTTGTCATATACTGAAAACTGTGCTATTAAGAAAAAAAAGTTTCAATTTCACTGTGACTGATGAGAAAATGCATTAGTAGAGAATAAACCCAGTAGAACACATACCATGTCTCCCAGATAAAGCCCTGAGGGAAAAGAGAAAGAAGAATAAAACAAGATACAGTGGGGAAAAAAAGTATTTAGTCAACCACCAATTGTGCAAGTTCTCCCACTTAAAAAGATGAGAGGGGCCTGTACTTTTCATCATAGGTACACGTCAACTATGACAGACAAATTGAGAAAAGAAAATCCAGAAAATCACATTGTAGGATTTTTTATGAATTTATTTGCAAATTATGGTGGAAAATAAGTATTTGGTCACCTACAAACAAGCAAGATTTCTGGCTCTCACAGACCTGTAACTTCTTCTTTAAGAGGCTCCTCTGTCCTCCACTCGTTACCTGTATTAATGGCACCTGTTTGAACTTGTTATCAGTATAAAAGACACCTGTCCACAACCTCAAACAGTCACACTCCAAACTCCACTATGGCCAAGACCAAAGAGCTGTCAAAGGACACCAGAAACAAAATTGTAGACCTGCACCAGGCTGGGAAGACTGAATCTGCAATAGGTAAGCAGCTTGGTTTGAAGAAATCAACTGTGGGAGCAATTATTAGGAAATGGAAGACATACAAGACCACTGATAATCTCCCTCGATCTGGGGCTCCACGCAAGATCTCACCCCGTGGGGTCAAAATGATCACAAGAACGGTGAGCAAAAATCCCAGAACCACACGGGGGGACCTAGTGAATGACCTGCAGAGAGCTGGGACCAAAGTAACAAAGCCTACCATCAGTAACACACTACGCCGCCAGGCACTCAAATCCTGCAGTACAAGACGTGTCCCCCTGCTTAAGCCAGTACATGTCCAGGCCCGTCTGAAGTTTGCTAGAGTGCATTTGGATGATCCAAAAGAGGATTGGGAGAATGTCATATGGTCAGATGAAACCAAAATATAACTTTTTGGTAAAAACTCAACTCGTCGTGTTTGGAGGACAAAGAATGCTGAGTTGCATCCAAAGAACACCATACCTACTGTGAAGCATGGGGGTGGAAACATCATGCTTTGGGGCTGTTTTTCTGCAAAGGGACCAGGACGACTGATCCGTGTAAAGGAAAGAATGAATGGGGCCATGTATCGTGAGATTGAGTGAAAACCTCCTTCCATCTGCAAGGGCATTGAAGATGAAACATGGCTGGGTCTTTCAGCATGACAATGATCCCAAACACACCGCCCGGGCAACGAAGGAGTGGCTTCGTAAGAAGCATTTCAAGGTCCTGGAGTGGCCTAGCCATTCTCCAGATCTCAACCCCATAGAAAATCTTTGGAGGGAGTTGAAAGTCTGTGTTGCCCAGCGACAGCCCCAAAACATCACTGCTCTAGAGGAGATCTGCATGGAGGAATGGGCCAAAATACCAGCAACAGTGTGTGAAAACCTTGTGAAGACTTACAGAAAACGTTTGACCTGTGTCATTGCCAACAAAGGGTATATAACAAAGTATTGAGAAACTTTTGTTATTGACCAAATACTTATTTTCCACCATAATTTGCAAATAAATTCATTAAAAATCCTACAATGTGATTTTCTGGATTTTTTTTCCTCATTGTCTGTCATAGTTGACGTGTACCTATGATGAAAATTACAGGCCTCTCTCATCTTTTTAAGTGGGAGAACTTGCACAATTGGTGGCTGACTAAATACTTTTTTTCCCCACTGTATAAAAGCTCCATTTGGTCTACAAGGTCAGCTCACAAAGAATTGAATTACATTTCTACATCAGCCTACTTTACATTTTAGTAATTTAGCAGACGCTCTTATCCAGAGCAACTTACAGTAGTGAGTGGACACATTTTCATACAGGTCCCCCGTGGGAATTGAACCCACAACCCTGGCGTTACAAGCACCATGCTCTACCAAGTGAGCCACACGGGACTGCTCTACAACTCCTATTGATACGTTCATATCAACCTGATACAGAGGAATGTTGATGGTGAATACAGTAATGTTGTTGGGGTACATAAGAGGTTAACCTTACTGAACATTAACAAAATGGATGTGTCCACTGGGCATTGTCACGGATGTTGAGTCAAGGGGCTGCTGCAACATGCCAACAGCTCTCACCCATAAGAGGGCCAACAAGGAATGGTTTAAACACGCGCATACGGCACCCTTTCTCTTCATGGTGTAATCTCTGATGGCAGTGGCAGGGCAACAGTTCTGGTCATATGATAACAGCCCTGTGACCGTGATCATAATATGAGCGCTTTGCTTGCCCACTTATCTCCCCAGCTGCTCTGGACCTGCTGGACCGCTCCAACCTCAGCTGGGGCTGTGCTAGACTGGCAAGAAACCACCACATCCCGGTCTATACAATGGTCTTCTGTGTTCATACACACCAGTGAAATAATTGTGCTTGAAAACCTATTAATAGGATGCAGTTATTTCATAAAGGCTACAGAAGGGATTGCATTTGAGAGATGAAAATCAATATTAAAGTACTTAATATTGTGAATAAGAGATTGCATTGTGTTTTTGGGGAAGACAGTGATATAATGTGGTGTACTGTTGTGCTGAACCTCTCCCTATTTCTGACATAACATAGCTCTCAGACTGAGTGAGGAGGAGTGTGTTCTCTCAATGACTGGTTCATCCCACCAGTGAAAACGTGACATACTCTGTATTGCCTGTGATCTCCTCCTGGATCTGGCGAGATTGCAGAATCCCCTCCATTTTCTGAGAGAAAATAAAGAAAAAAGGGAAATGAAACAGGAGAAAGAACAGAGTAAATGAGCATTTTTTTTTTACGTCAAACATAGCCGGTAGTAACTTGTGGAATAGAAACCGGCTGGAATGCGGTTTTAACCAATCAGCATTCAGGATTAGACCCACCCGTTGTATAATTTGACAAAGTACTGTAGTATTGTAATTTATCGTAAAAACAGCATTTATAAGAATGTAACGTGTAACAAACATGTATATGTGTACTATTCGCCAAGCAAAATAAGAGGATGTACAGTACCTGAACCACCACTACTTGGATGGACACATGATCAGGAAGTCTGATTGGTGCTCTGAAGTGCTGAGACAGCGCCACCAACAGGTGAAGAATGGCCACTATACTCTTAGCATGGACCGCTGGGGCAAGAGACCGACAGAAACTGGGATTTGCTTTAGTTTTCAATGGTTGGATGAACAATCAATGAAGTAAACAAGGTTTTGATTCCTGCCTAATAAAATGCTAAATTAAAGGAGAGTATCTAAAAGCCCTCTGATATCGGTTTGATCCTCTCAGCCTAAAAGGATCAGAACAGAGGTGTGTGTTACATCTCCCGTAAGTGTTTTCCCCAGCTTAATAGAAAAGGTTGAAAGCAGGGAACAATGCATTGATTCGGTTAGAGCTTGGGTGACAGAATTCTGCTGTAAATTCAATCAAAAACTCCATAATTTCATTCAAGTGTTCCTCTTTCGTGATGTAGTCATGCATTCAACCTCATTGATTTTGTTTTGTTTTTGAAAAGGAGATGAGCAGCCAGCAAAGTAATAAAGAAATAAAAAAATATAGAACACCAGAGTATGTACAATCGTGTGTGCAAGGATGTGCATTGATGTCCGAGTGAATAAAACAGTGTGTGTTGTTTGAAGTAATGTCTGTTGTTGTTAGAATATCGCAAACAGATGTGGCAGTTTCACCGCAACGGATTCCAACTTGAATTAATATGTACAGTGAGGGAAAAAAGTATTTGATCCCCTGCTGATTTTGTACGTTTGCCCACTGACAAAGAAATGATCAGTCTATAATTTTAATGGTAGGTTTATTTGAACAGTGAGAGACAGAATAACAACAAAAAAATCCAGAAAAACGCATGTCAAAAAGGTTATAAATTGATTTGCATTTTAATAAGGGAAATAAGTATTTGACCCTTCTGCAAAACATGACTTAGTACTTGGTGGCAAAACCCTTGTTGGCAATCACAGAGGTCAGACATTTCTTGTAGTTGGCCACCAGGTTTGCACACATCTCAGGAGGGATTTTGTCCCACTCCTCTTTGCAGATCTTCTCCAAGTCATTAAGGTTTCGAGGCTGACGTTTGGCAACTCGAACCTTCAGCTCCCTCCACAGATTTTCCTATGGGATTAAGGTCTGGAGACTGGCTAGGCCACTCCAGGACCTTAATGTGCTTCTTCTTGAGCAACTCCTTTGTTGCCTTGGCCGTGTGTTTTGGGTCAATGTCATGCAGGAATACCCATCCACGACCCATTTTCAATGCCCTGGCTGAGGGAAGGAGGTTCTCACCCAAGATTTGACGGTACATGGCCCTGTCCATCGTCCCTTTGATGCGGTGAAGTTGTCCTGTCCCCTTAGCAGAAAAACACCCCCAAAGCATAATGTTTCCACCTCCATGTTTGACGGTGGGGATGGTGTTCTTGGGGTCATAGGCAGCATTCCTCCTCCTCCAAACACGGCGAGTTGAGTTGATGCCAAAGAGCTCCATTTTGGTCTCATCTGACCACAACACTTCACCCAGTTCTCCTCTGAATCATTCAGATGTTCATTGACAAACTTCAGACGGGCATGTATATGTGCTTTCTTGAGCAGGGGGACCTTGCGGGCGCTGCAGGATTTCAGTCCTTCACGGTGTAGTGTGTTACCAATTGTTTTCTTGGTGACTATGGTCCCAGCTGCCTTGAGATCATTGACAAGATCCTCCCGTGTAGTTCTGGGCTGATTCCTCACCATTCTCATGATCATTGCAACTCCACGAGGTGAGATCTTGCATGAAGCCCCAGGCCGAGGGAGATTGACAGTTATTTTGTGTTTCTTCCATTTGTGAATATTCGCACCAACTGTTGTCACCTTCTCACTAAGTTGCTTGGCGATGGTCTTGTAGCCCATTCCAGCCTTGTGTAGGTCTACAATCTTGTCCCTGACATCCTTGGAGAGCTCTTTGGTCTTGGCCATGGTGGAGAGTTTGGAATCTGATTGATTGATTGCTTCTGTGGACAGGTGTCTTTTATACAGGTAACAAACTGAGATTAGGAGCACTCCCTTTAAGAGTGTGCTCCTAATCTCAGCTCGTTACCTGTATAAAAGACACCTGGGAGCCAGAAATCTTTCTGATTGAGAGGGGGTCAAATACTTATTTCCCTCATTAAAATGCAAATCAATTTATAACATTTCTGACATGTGTTTTTCTGGATTTCTTTGTTGTTATTCTGTCTCTCACTGTTCAAATAAACCTACCATTACAATTATAGACTGATCATTTCTTTGTCAGTGGGCAAACGAACAAAATCAGCAGGGGATCAAATACTTTTTTCCCTCACTGTATATTTCTGGACTACTTCACTCAAATCAGTTCATCCCTTCAACTCTCTTCCCTTTTCTCATACATGTATGCTAATGATAAAACACAAGTTTGAATGCTATTACCAGTATTATCATATTCTTGTTAAAAGCCTCATAAACATCAAGGCAAACCTAAAGTGCTTTACTGAAATGTACTGTATAGACAGACATTCCTTCTCCATTAGAGAGAAAACTCAATGACCAGTGAGTCAAGTATGGACTCGTAACAAGCTGAAGCCCCCATGTATTCCATCTGTCTGACCACTTGGGCTCACTCAATAGCTACTGTATGCAGAGTCTCTCTCACCAAAACAGAGGAAAACAGTCCCTCCATGTTTCAGTCTATCTGAACATGTCCAATAAGAACGCTTGTTTTCATTTTCTGTTGCGTAATGTTTTGCTACTGTGTGCCCTAATTAATACGACCTAGTTCTCAGCCTCTACTTACAGTCCACATTCCATTTGATGCTCCTGGTAGAGACCTTGATGGAGTCGTTGATCCTCTCCAGCACCGTCTGCAGCTTCTGTTTCTGGGCGATCTCCGACTGGGTCACCTCAGCTACATTTAGCTTCTCCCCCTCCAGCTTCTCTGAAACACATATACAAAGAAAACAGCATGTATTAATACAGGCATTTGATGCATTGCACAAGATCCATTCCTGTCAATGAGAGAAAGGCCTGAGAGAAAATGGTCAGAGGGAGAAGGTGATTAGTAGTAGAGTGGGAATAGTGATCCTTTAAGTTTGATGGAGAACCATTAAGGGACTTGTTCCTCACCAAAGAGTTTCTGCAGAACCTGCCCGTCGTAAAGATCCTCAGCCAGGTCCTTCACGATGATCCTCTCTCCCACCAACACATCATTGATCCAGTCGATCAGCACCTTCTGGAGTTCCTGTAGTTTCTGGTCATTCTTGGAGTTGGGGTCGACCATGGTGCGGACCTCATTCTCATCTGTAGGAACAGAAAGCAAGATTAGGTATAGCCAGTGTCAAGGCATCTCATCTTCTATGGCCAGGGCTCTCAGATGGGGACTGTACTGTACTTCCCTAGCATGGTGTCCTCTGGGTCCAGTTCGTATTGGGTGGGGCTCAGGGGCAGGTTGATGGCGTTCATCCCCTCCTCCTGGAGCTCAGACACTGTAGGGTGAGAAGAAGCGAGAGATGGGGGAGTTCAGAGAGATACCACATCACATCCCTCACAATGCATCCTCTCTAACACATAGCAAAAAGGAGGCACAAACAGTAGCCACTTCGAATCTGTGATGATTCTACTAAAAAGTATTTCTACAATTTAGGCTACTACATGTTTATTTTTGCTCAGTATTTTGCTGCTCTTAGTATCAGTTAAGTTTTGCCACTATGGCTAATCCACCAGACATAAGCACGGAGGGTCAAGGGAAACGAGAGGTTGTTGTTAAGGCGGGGGACAACTACTAGGATAGGGACCAGCACATGATAGCACTGTAATAGTGTTCCCACACCATTAATAAACCAGCTAACTACTACCATAGCTATTTTGTCAAAATAGCCTAGTGCTAACACAGGAGCCTGGCTTTGCTTTATTTATCATGTCTAATAGGGTATATTATTGAGGTGTAGTGGTTATTTCTGTAAGTAGTTTCACTCACTGGTCTTTCCTCAAGTAATATTTTCTTATAGGCTGCTGCACATTGGAAAAACACTGCAATTTTATCTCAAGTCCAGGGAGTCCTCCAGACAGGCATTTCCTCAGTCTACTACTTAGTGGCCCTCATCAGTACACTCCTCCTCCCTAGGCTATATCTCACAACAGAGGAGACATGTTCTAAAGGGGAAGATTCTTCTGTATTCTTAAATCAATAGCAGCAGCTACAATTGATTCTTAGTCAATATCACGTTTTTCTCCTTAGCTCACTGCACTGCCTCAGCTTTCGGTGTCCCCGTTCCTAAATCAGCTTATCTGATCTGACACTGTTCTCAGTTAATCAAGACAATATACTTTCCCCATCTGTTAGTAGCATATGTATTACACAGAACTTCCTGGTTTCCCATCAACCCCTGCCCTGCCCCAGCAGGCATTTCACCATACTGCTGTGTCAGTGACACCTGTAGTGGTGTGAACATCCTGTGCTGGATTTCTCAGCATTCCTTCCAGTGAAGATGACATCCTCTTAATCAACACCATCAGCAGCCCTGCTTCTGACCGCCTGTACAGCATCATATCAAGACGAAGGAGAATATCCTGTGTCTTGACAGCATGACATACAGTGCCTTCAGAAAGTATTCACTTGTTCCAGATTTTGTTGTGTTACAGCCTGAATTTAAAATAGATTAATGGACATACAATTATCTGTAAGGTCCGTCAGTCGAGGAGTGAATTTCAAACACAGATTCAACCACAAAGACCAGGGAGGTTTTCCAATGCCTAGCAAAGAAGGGCGCCTATTGGTAGAAAATAATGTGTAAAAAAATTAATAAGCTGACATTGAACATAAAATAAAATAATATTTGTCACATGCGCCGAATACAACAAGTGTAGACCTTACCTAGTTACAAGCCCTTAACCAACAATGCAGTTCAATAAATAGTTAAGAAAATATTTACTAAATAAACTAAAGTCAAAAATCAAATCAAAAAGTAACAAGATAATTACATAACAATATCCCTTTGAGCATGGTGATGTTACTAATTACACTTTGGATGGTATATCAATACACCCAGTCACTACAAAAATACAGACGTCCTTCCCAATTCAGTTGCCGGAGAGGAAAGAAACCGCTCAGGGATTTCACCATGAGGCCAATGGTAACTTTAAAACAGTTACAAAGTTTAATGGCTGTTATAGGAGAAAACTGAGGATGGATCAACAACATTGTAGTTACTCCACAATACTAACCTAATTGACAGAGTGAAAAGAAGGAAGTCTGTACAGAATACAAATATTCCAAAACAGTTATCCTGTTTGCAACAAGGTACTAAAGTAATCCTGCAAAAAATGTGGCAAAGCAATTCCCATTTTGTCCTGAATACAAAGTGTTATGTGTTTTATTGGATTTGCCCCAAACATTACTGAGTACCACTCTCCATATTTTCAAGCATAGTGGTGGCTGCACCATGTTATAGGTATGATTTTAATTGCTAAGGACTGTGGAGTTTATCAGGATACAAAAATAAACAGGATGGAGCTAAGCACAGGATAAATCCTAGTTCAGTCTGTTTTTCACCAGACACTGGGAGATGAATTCACCTTTCAGCAGGACAATAACCTAAAACACAAATCCAAATCTACACTGGAGTTCTTACCAAGAAGACAGTGAATGCTCCAGTTGATTTATATCTACTTGAAAATCTATGGCAAGACCTGAAAATGGTTGTTTAGCAATGATCAACAGCTAATTTGACAGACCTTGAAGAATTTTGAAAATAGTAAATGGGCAAATGTTGCACCATCCAGGTGTGGAAAGCTCTTCCAGACTTACCCAGAAATATTCACAGCTGCTTCTACAAAGTATTGCCTCAGTGAATACTTATGTAAAGTGATATTTATGGATTTCATTTTCAATGAATTAGCAAACATTTCTAAAAACATTTCCACTTTGTCATTATGGATTATTGTGTGTAGATGAGTGAGAAAAACCTATTTAATCCATTTTTAATTCAGGCTGTAACACAACAATATGTGGAATAAGTAAAGGGGTATGAATACTTTCTGAAGGCACTGTATGCCTTCTCTCAGAAATAATTGGATGACTGATAATTGCATGCATCAGCATGTGCCTACAGAGAATAAGAGAGGTACTATCACTGCCCTCTCAATCACCCCTTTAAAATGATCTCCATACACAATGTCCTCTTGACCAGCAGTGATTCACACACAGAGCATGTGATGCTGTGAGTTGGGGCGCTAACCCTATCTCAGACCTGCTACAGAGACACTGGGTCTCCTATCCTTCATATGCACTGATGTGAAGGAACTGGAAGGGTGAAAGCAAGTACGTGGTAGGTATCTCCCACACATTGCTTTCACCCATCCTGCGACGTCATCTGTGTGTAAATGAAGGAAAGGAAAGCAGCGAAGGATGCCACTTTAGATTATTGAAATGCAGCCAGTGTTTCTCCTTCCTCTCCTCATGCTCCAGCAGTGGGTAGGTGAACACGAACAGGCTGTCTTACCTGGTGGGCAGAGTGCTCCACAGCCCATCTCTCCCTCTGAGTTTCCAGCATCTTCCCTTCACCACAGGGACTCTTCACTGACTCATCCTCTCCTCCAGCCTGCTCAACGTCCACTGTCCTGTCTCTAACACTCTGTCTCGCCCTTTCCCCATCCTTTCCTCCCTCTCTCGCCGCGGTCCAATCAACAGGCTTGTTCAAGGACGTGCCCCCTCTCTTCCTCCCCTTCGTAAATATCAGAGTGTTTCAAATTAAATATACTCCCGCAACACGGGTCCAGAGAAGCTTTCCATCAAATCACCAGGAACACACTGCGGACATCCTGGCCACTGTGTGTGTGTATGAGGGAGAGACGGGATGGGGCTCAGCTGTAGTGTGTCAACCACTCAGCCCTGTGATCCGTGATTGATATAAACCAATCATAACACAAGTACAGGGCCGGACAACCACATTTTGGGGGCCCCCTGGAGGTCGGGGGCACTCTGAACAGGTCAAACAAAGAGGGATCATTTCCACTTAATGTGCAACTTTAATTCATTTGATGATGAACTTGAGGAAAAACAATGGATGGAGCAACTCATTCATTTATAGGTTTGTTAATCCTGTAGCAGTGAAATTAAGGACACATACTAGCAGTGCAGCTACTCCTGGAGTTGTGTTTGCTCTTACCTCATTCCTGAGTAATTGCATCTGAAGTAGTAGCATACCCTACATGGCAACCATAGTCTGCAGCTACAGTAAGTAACTCTACTAGGCACTGCATGCGCCCCCAGGCTGCCCTGCAGGCCAACTCGGGTCAATGCAATACAACAACGTTGAAATACAAGACATCCTATTATTTGAGTGTGTAAGCTAGTTTACAGATATTTAGGCCTATGTAGTATCCTACTCCATTCTGATCTCTTCAATGAATTTGCAGTTTGGAAAGACGGCGAATGCGATATTCCTTTACAAATAATGAATTGAGAGAATCAGACTGACGAGTAGACAATTGTTGAGGCGTGACTTCATTACACAACGCATTTTTTGCTCAGATTGAAACATTGTTGTAGCGACTAGCTAGTTAAAATGGGCTTCCATAAAATACGCATTTTCTGCTTGTGCTTGGCTGATAATGTGTTTTACATACATGCTACTTCACGCAGGTAAAGTTTAGAAATGTTCGTGACAGTATTGTTTTGATCAGAACTGTACCTTCTTTTGCCTTCTTTCTTCTTACTAAAGTTCCTCCAAGCTTTCCCAGGAACGAGTCATCTTTCTTTCTGGAAGAGGGTGATTTCGGAGTCGTCGGCGACGGAGACGATGGCGACTTTTGCGGCGAAGAAGCCATGATACAACTTATCCAAAAGTACAATCAATATTGTAAAAGTTGAGTAGGTCTCTGAAATAAATATATTTTCAAGTCAAGTTCTGCTCAAATCAATTTTCACTCCCTAAAGCGGAAACGGAATTTCAAACTTTCATCCAGCCTTGAATCCCTTCCTTCCTTGTTCCCAGATTCTTCTTCTTCTTCTTCTTCTGTGGGTTTTATTGCGGAATACAACCCAAAAGGTGTATTGCCGCCACCAACTGAACGGGTTAAAACCAAAACAAGCTAAAAAGAAAATCCATATGTAATACGGAAACTAACTTAATCCACCCAAATAATAATAGTACATTGACAAAACAAATCTCCATATATCCCGTCTCAGGCTCTAGGGCCTGAGAGGGTGGTACGGCTTGTGACAATATTCCATGTAACTCCTTCACCAAGAAATCTTTCAGCCCCAGGAACCCCTCCGCCTCATCCACAATGATTTCTATCTTCCTCGACCTTCTCTCCACCTTGGCAGTGCCATTTATCACCATAGCTATAAAGGCCACAAAGTCCACCCTCTTAACTTTTAAAATATCAGGATCCTGCTGGTGAAAGGCAACCCCTGCATCCTGCACTAAAGGCCTATCCACCACCATGAACTCTTCAGGTGCACCATTCAAACCCTCAACCCCTTTAACACCTGCTGCATATGAAATGCTCTGGACAGTCCTGACTTTGGCCACCTCATTCTCTTTCACCCTTGTGGGGCATTCTAAAAGACGTGGCTTCATGGTTCCCACCACAATTGCAACATGTCACATTTTCATCACTTTTATAACACATTATATATTTTCCACAACTTGGACATCTCGGCTTCTCCCTTCTGAAAACACTTGACCAAAAGCTTTACAATGATCGCACTGCATTGGTCTTGGGATAAATGCTCTGACTCTGTAGTTAATATACCCTAACTGCACTTGAGTAGGGAGAGACTCCATATAAAAAAACAAAAGAACAGATAGAATTTTCACTTTTTCTTCATTCACCACACGATTCATCCGACGTGCATCAATCTCTCCAGGAATATTTTTCATCTCTTCAACACTGTTAGTCTACACCTGTAGTTTATGAAGCCTGTGACAAATAAGATTTGATTTAAACTTGTCAACTAAATAAATTATTGAACCAACAGATACAATCTTAATTTACATGAAACAAGGAGGGAAAATTGTACTCATAAAAGTGAATCAACTCATGTTGATTGTGGTCAGTACTGACGTGTATGACTTCAGACATAATAATAATAATAATAGTAAAAAGTCCTGTGGAACATTACAAACATGGACACCCATTAACTTCACTGACACTGTCCTTGGTGTATTGGATTATACAGTGCAGATAAAGTTACAATATCCAGTCATTTTTTTTCTCCAGTGCTCCTCAACACAACAGCAACGATACAACACATGAACAGAATTAATAGAGGCCTATACATAAGTATATTTTACTTTGAGATGGAAAAAATATTTGATAGGTTGAATCTTTGGGTTTCTGTAGTGTTTATAAGTGCAACTGACAAAGTGTTTTATATTATTCTATTTAATTTATTCCATTCATAAGGCTGCATACATTCTGAGATGTTCTTGGATAGGCATACAGTAATCTCTGAAGGCTGTCTCGAGAGACTAGGCTATACATTCACTTGATGTACAACCCTCAGGTCCATAAGAGGTGTGATCCTCAAGTAGGAATTGACAAGTCAAATGTACATATACATATTCAAAGGATCATCATGCCACGTGTGGCCAAATCCAGTAGTGTAGTCAGTAGTAGTGAAGTCACTTGTCTCTTCTGCCTGTGGAGCTGCATGGTACTGTAGCCTTTTCCCTGCCCCAGAGGGCTGATTCTCCTCAGGTCCAGTGGAACTGGTAGCCTCTAGACAGTACAAGGCTCTCCAGGTCTCTGTCCTCAGCCCTCTCCTGCAGCCGCTGCTCATCCAGCAGGCTGACCAGAGTGTCTCTCCTCTCCACCACCTTCATGATCTCTGTCAGCATCTTCTGCTCCTCCGCCAGCTCACTGGAGCTCTTCCTGGAATCTGCAAAGGGCCACAGCGGATAGAGGGCAGTGGCACAAACGTATAAAAGTTGTAACAGTGGTAAGTACAGAATGTGTAACTTATACTACAATTGCACAGTACTACACTACAATTACACAGTGTGTGACCCATACCGTCTATGGACATCCTGTGTCGTAGATCCATCTGTAGTTGACTCTGTCTGTCCTCCAGCTCGAGTTCCTGAGCACTAACAACAGACAAGACAACCTATTCAAACACTCTTCACTCCATAAGATGGTCACTGTCTGAGAATGTACTGTGTTTCTCATCTTTTCCTACTTACAATATGACCAGCTCTTCCTCGTAGCGTGCCAGTCTGTTCTTCTCCAGGACCAGCTTGAACCACATTTGAAGGAGCTCGTGCTCATCAGAGAGACCATCACCTTTGTCTGATAGAGGGAGAGAGCAAGATCACAATCAGTTACCCCAACCCCAGACAATATAGAAGTTTGATAATCCTGTTTCTTCATTCCTCCATTACGTCCAAGGTCGACTAATAAGCTCCCTGTCACAAGGTTATACAGTAGATGGACATACAGTGCAATCGGAAAGTATTCAGACCCCTCGACTTTTTCCACATTTTGTTACGTTACTGCCTTATTCTAAAATTGATTAAATTGTTTTCCCCCCCTCAATCTACACACAATTCCCCATAATGACAAAGTAAAAACAGGTTTTTAGAAATGTTAGCAAATTTATTTTTTTAAAATACTGAAATATCACGTTTACATAAGTATTCAGCCCTTTACTCAGTACTTTGGCAGCGATTACAGCCTCAATTCCTCTTGGGTATGACTCTACAAGCTTGGAACACCTGTATTTGGGGAGTTTCTCTCATCATTTTCTGCAGATCCTCTCAAGCTCTGTCGGGTTGCATGGGGAGCGTCGCTGCACAGCTATTTTCAGGTCTCTCCAGAAATGTTTGATCAGGTTCAAGTCCGGGCTCAGGCTGGGCCACTCAAGGATATTCAGAGACTAGTCCCGAAGCCACTCCTGCATTGTCTTGGCTGTGCGCTTAGGGTCATTGTCCAGTTGGAAGGTGAACCTTCGCCTCAGTCTGAGGTCCTGAGCGCTCTGGAGCAGGTTTTCATCAATGATCTCTCTGTACTTTTCTCCGTTCATATTTCCCTCAATCCTGACTAGTCTCCCAGTCCCTGCCGCTTAAAAACATCCCCACAGCATGATGCTGCCACCACCATGCTTCACCGTAAGGACGGTGCCAGGTTTCCTCCAGACGTGACACTTGGCATCCAGGCCAAAGAGTTCAATCTTAGTTTCATCAGACCAGAGAATCTTGTTTCTCATGGTCTGAGAGTCTTTAGGTGCCTTTTGTCAAACTCCAAGCAGGCTGTCATGTGCCTTTTACTGAGGAGTGGCTTCTATCTGGCCACACTACCATAAACGCCTGATTGGTTGAGGGCTGCAGAGATGGTTGTCCTTCTGGAAGATTCTCCCATCTCCACAGAGGAACTCTGGAGCTCTGTCAGAGTGACCATCAGGTTCTTGGTCACATCCCTGACCAAGGCCCTTCTCCCCCGATTGCTCAGTTTGGCCGGGCGGCCAGCTCTAGGAAGAGTCTTGGTGGTTCCAAACTTCTTCCATTTAAGAATGATGGAGGCCAATGCTGCAGACATTTTTTTATACCCTTCCCCAGATCTGTGCCTCGACACAATCCTGTCTCTGAGCTCTACAGACAATTCCTTCGACCTCATGGCTTGGTTTTTTCTCTGACATGCACTGTCAACTGTGGGACCTTATATAGACTGGTGTGTGCCTTTCCAAATCATGTCCAATCAATTGAATTTACCACAGGTGGACTCCAAGTTGTAGACACATCTCAAGGATGATCACAATCCCTGTCACAAGGGGATTGGAAGCTTGTTGTGTGGAACAGGGAGTGGCAATTGAATGCAAGCTTCACCATTTTTATTTATTGTTAAAACATTTCTAGCCTATCTATTTATGCATGACAGGGTTGATGTGTTATGCTCAACCTGCTCAGTTTTTCACCATAAAACACCAGCAAATGGCCAAAAAGAGTAGAACCAGCTCACCTACTTTTACACTGTGATTTGAGTATTAGATGTTCAATGTTTCTTTTGAAAAACAAATTTAAAAAGGAATAGTTTTACCATATTAAAACAAGAGTTCAGTTCACGTAACAGGGTTGACCTTAAAATGAGGGACATATGTAAATGAATCACTAATCACATTAAATAAATAATAATATTCCAAATTGACTTTGTCAAAGCAACAAAAATAACTAGGGCTTTACAATGATGGTGAACCTGGAGAAATGTTGGGGTTAAGTGGGTTAAAACCTTCCTAGAAGTCACATGGAGGGACATGTCAAAATGCTGAATTTTGGCACCTCAGCTGTTTTGGCACTTCAGCACTGGTTGTTTCCACGTCATTCCAAAGAAATTACATTGAACCAACGAGGAATACACTGTGCCCAGTGGGTTCAGTCTTTTTTCATATGAAAAATCTGATTTATTGAATTCTCCATGTGGTCTATATTAAAGGGGACTTAATTTAATATAACCGACTTTTAAAATTAAATATTGGTCTACAATTTCTACTTAAAATATCACAGGGACGCAAAAGGCACTCATTTCGTGGAACGACCCAATACTAACCCTAGAGACGTCATAAAACACTTCATAAAATGGAACTTCGTAACTATCAGAGGAGCTTCAAAAGTTAACTTTTGAAAATGTAATAACATGACAATGTAACATTCAGACAACAGGCTAAATGTATTTATTTAAACTGCCTAAGCACATTCTCCATACTAGTGTGTAATTTAAACGAGTTAGTGGGTGACTGGATCTGGAGCTAAGGATTTTATGTCAAAGCTACTAACACTGAGCTTTAAATTAACTACAGATATGACATGTTTGACCCATTAGGAGAGCGTGTTTGATTTAATGACAGCATTTTCAAACTCAGAATCTTGCCATGCACATAAACTTCAGTCATTATCTGACACCTATTCCTGCCCTCTTTCTATCCATTTGAAGTCTGTTAATAATGTAAATTAACAAAGAGTCTATTGAGCCAAGAGCCCTTCACCTTAATACAATTATACAAACAAAGCAATGTAAACAGGCACACAATGGCTGGCACTGCTGCCGATGCCCTTCAGGCCTGCATCACAAGAGAATATCTCTGTGTAGATATTGAATCAGAATTTGCAAGGCCATTCACTGTACTGAGAGCAGCCTGCCTGTTAATGTCTCTGTCTCAATGGTACTTAGACAAGAGACACTCAGTCTCTGTGGAGGCTTTTAACATTGAGCCTGACTATTGAACAAAACTTGAGTTTACACAAAAAGGTCTTTACACAGGAGATGTGCTTTCCATTTGAGAATAGAAGGACAAAAACTTGAATGAAACAATTGCATTACTCAGTTTTGTGTGCTTTTATGCACTGTAATCTAATTTAATGTAATTGTAATAAAAGTAACAGCTAACTATGCTTAAAAACTCTCAATAATTCTTTATCTGAAGGGTGCAGAAGCAACAAACACATTTCTGAGAAATGTGTGAAAATCACATTTACAATTCTGGCAAAACACAATGTACCTTTGAGGAATATGATTATCAGTATAAAAACATTACTTGTTAAAAGGAATTACTGTTTTTCATTCTAAAATGGCTGTCTTTAATGGCTAACTTGTATATCACCATGTGCAAGGGTAATGAAACATGGGAAAGCTTTCCCCCCGCCTTCCTCTCTTCACAAGGCCAATTGCCACTGTAGTGATTTCAAAACAATTTAAACTTAAAATTGTTATTTTGGTTGAATGCAAATGACTATAATTTGGTACCATTTCTATTATATATTTTCCTAGCAAAGGCATCAGAGTAGTTCTGACTGTAGACTACTCTAGATAAGGAAATTGAAATAATGATTAGAGAGGCATTGCCAGTTTCAAATCTCACAGAAACAGGACAACTAGAACGAGCATAGGTCATTCTGAATACAGTATTTCTGTGTCTCAACTATATGTTCCTGGCTGAGGTCAAACAAAGACTAAGAGAGTTCCATTTTCAGCCATGCCTTTCTCCGCTCTCTGTTCATAGCCCAGTCTTCATGTGCCATGTCTTTGTGCGTTACCTTCATAGAATAAGGCCTCTCTGATACAAGGACACAAACTTACTGAACATTCTGATTCTGACCCTTCCAATCCATTGTCATACATTCATAAAATGCTCTGGCCAAGAGTCAGAGATACGTCAACCGAACGGATACACTTTTATGTACTTTACTCATACACAGTGCAGCTGTTGGAATCCACACAGCATGGGATGACAAACGTACAGTACTCGCCAAAGGTACAGTACATGCAGTTGAGACTCAGTGTGGCACACCTGGGGATTCGCCACGAAGGACCTTCTCAATGGACACCCCTCTCTCTTCCAGGTCCTTCTGCTTCTCCCCCACTTCCTCCAGCTGCCTCTGGATGATCTTCACAAAAGAACCACCAGGTCAGAATCAACCAGCGCAGGCTCACAATGTAGCTCAACACACAATATTTATATTCCATTCATCTCCCCAACAAATCAAATACATTTGTGGAAGACTTCATGAGTGATTCAAATTTATCAGATTTTTTTTTATATAGATGGGTTAGCTGACAACGTCACGAAAACGATGTGCACACTTCCGTGGGGTAGATGTCAGCGTGTTGTTGTGATTCTGGATGGCCAGATTGTTAGCAAGAATGACAAAAAACTGCCATGTAGGGAATCGTAAGGGGCTCGTTTCAGCTTGTTATGTCTTGTTTTGAGGTGTTTTGACTGATTTCATGTCAATGCCAATATGCTCAAATTCGCTAGCTAAACCAACAACTGTAACGGTGTATTTGAGAGACAACAAGTGCTCATTGTGTTTTCAATAAACATTGGGGACGAAATATAGCTTACATGTTATCAACAATCTAAGCCAACCCATCTGTTTTGCCCCATAGTTGTGCATGCCTAAACAACCAACCCTTCTATAAAACATATAAATGATTGCAAATGATCACAGAAGCCCATTGTGTGGTAGTGCTGTTCTGTCGTCTATGTGCTCTACAGTACCTGGGCTCTGTGGAGTCTCTTCAGCTGCTCTCTCTTGTCCTGTTGAATCACAGTCTTCTCCTGCCTCCTCCTCTGTCTCTCTGAGCTCCCATGGTTCTAAACATAGACCAGCAAGACAGTGTCACATACCACTTACCTCACAGCAGAGTTTAACCCTATTTTCTTAGTCACAACTATTAGGGGTCTGTGCACATCAGTCTGATATCTTATCAGTCATGCACTTATCCTGACCTGGCGGAAGTAGCAGAGATGGTTCAAAAGTGGCAGTAATTCTGTTGAGAGTGAAGTAAACAAGGCCGTTCCTAACAGAGAGGTGCAAAACGGTGCCCAGACCTACTACAACACCAAAGTGGGATTTCCTCCCTGTATGTGAAGTGATATGAGCAGGTCATGATGTGCTCCTTCAGCCTTCCCAGTAATCACTCTCTAATGGAGGATGGATTATCTGTTCTCTGGTCCCCACCGGTCTCTTTATGCCTCCTTTATGCATCCTCTGCCTTGAGGAGAGCTGCTTCTAATCACTGATCTGACATGGATTGGTGCTTTCACCCATTATTTAATGTCATGATCAGTGATTACTTACAAGAAAGGCAGAAAGGAATGATGCATGTAAGAGTTTGGGAAGAGGGCCCTTACCTTCGGCTGGGACAAGCTCCCAGCCAAAGGTTTGGCTGGGACAAGCTCATCGTCACTTGAGGAGTTGGACTCATCCTTCTGCTGCTCGCTGGAGGCTGTGTATAGATGAGACGACACAAGAACATTTAACTGGAGCAGTGGTCTTCAAACTGTAGAATGTAGTCGTACACTCACTTCAACTATGTGATTTACACACAGTATAGGCTACTATTGTTCCTAATTTATAGCATTTCATTATAGCATTGTAGCATTTACTAGCCACGGATGACAAAGGAGTAGAAGCATATCATAATGCTCATCACATCCTCCCGTAACTTGACCCCTGACCTTTGTTCCTGATGTTGGACAGGATGGTCCCGATGTCCTTCTCCTGACCCCCCACTCCCACACTCTCCAGCCCCTCTCTCTTCTTCAGCCTCAGGGAGGAGAAGAAGTTGAGCTTCCTGGGCGGCAGAAAGGCCATGTCGTCGGTGGTGATGGAGCCCACAGACTTGTTGCTGCCTAGGGACACCTGCTCCAGTAGCATGGGCAGGTCTGAGGGTCTTTCACCCATGGAGGCCTTGCATGGGTGTGGGGTCAGCTGGCTCTTCTGATCCACTCCGACTGGTTTGGCCTCCTGGCTTTGGGCAGTAGCCCCAAACAGGGACCTAAAGCTGAAGGCTCCGTCAGACAGAGGCCTGGGCTTGGTGGGCCCGTTGTTATTCCTCCTGGTGACAACTGTGTTGGAGTCTGTTGTTGTCCCCGATACCCCAAAATACCTCCTGAAGGCATTTGCCCAAACCTGGAACGTGGACGGTGCCGGCTGGGGCTGAGCTGGGACTGGTTCTATCTCTGGGTCTACCTGAGGCAATGGGTCCTTCTGGGGGATCTGGTCCCCAGGTTTGGAGTGTTTGGATGGGCCTCCTCCTCCAGGGCTTCGGGCCTCCTCTGGAGTAACCAGGTTCCAGTCCAGGAGCTTCTCTTTCTCAGACAGGGACAGTGTCAGCCTCTTCTTTGGGCCGACTGCTTCCTCCAGCTGGGGCACTTTGGTGACAGGACGCTCTTCTTTACCCATCAATAGATTCTGAGAATCTGGAGGTAGTTTAGGACCATCATGGGAGACCTGCTGAAAAAATACACAAGTATTGTTTTATTGCTCAGTTGCAATAGGGTTGATATGTGAAATGTTTCTATAACACAGGAAATTGTTGAGTATCTGTATGAATATTGTGCTTTACCAGTGGTTCAATCTCCTTGAAATCAGAGTTGGCCTCTTCAATGGTGGGCTCCTCTTCTTCTGCAGCTTTTTCATGTGAGAAGTGCCTCACCAGGATGAGAGGGAGAGCTAAAGGAGTAGAGTACAACATATACTGAACAAAAATATAAACACAACATTTCAACGATTTTACTGAGTTACAGTTCATATAAGGAAATCAGTCAGTTGAAATAAATTAGGCCCTAATCTATGGATTTCATATGACTGGGAAGGGGCGCAGCCATGGGCCAACCCACTTTGGAGTCAGGCCCACCCACTGGGGAGCCAGGCACAGCCAATCAGAATGAGCTTTTCCCCACAAAAGGGCTTTATTATAGACAGAAATACTCCTCAGTTTCATCAGCTGTCCGGGTGGCTGGTCTCAGACGATCCCGCAGGTGAAGAAGCTGGATGTGGAGGTCCTGGGCTGGCGTGGTTACACATGGTCTGCGGTTGTGAGGCCGGATGGACGTACTGCCAAATTCTCTAAAACGACGTTGAAGGTGGCTTATGGTAGAGAATTTAACATTACATTCCCTGGCAACAGCTCTGGTGGACATTCCTGCAGTCAGCATTCCAATTGCAGGCTCCGTCAAAACTTGAGACATATGTGGCATTGTGTTGTGTGACAAAACTGCACTTTTTAGAGTGGCCTTTTATTGTCCCCAGCACAAGGTGCACCTGTTTAATGATCATGCTGTTTAATCAGCTTCTTGATATGCCACACCTGTCAGGTGGATGGATTATCTTGGCAAAGGAGATATGCTCACTAACAGGGATGTAAACAAATTTGTGCACACAATTGGAGAGAAATACGCTTTTTGTGCGTAGGGAACATTTTTTGGATCTTTTATTTTAGCTCATGAAACATGGGACCAACACTTTACATGTTGCGTTTATATTTTTGTTCAGTATATATAACATGCATTCATCAGAGCTCATACAGCAACACAGTGCTGTAGATCAGACTTAACACACTATTCGGATGCATTCACATCAACATGCATATGCTAAATACATAATAATCCTGTGTTGTCATTGTGTATAACATTAGGGTCATTACGCATTACGCATTTTCTAATAATGTATGCAAAACCCTTATAGTTCAAAAGAGTTGAAGTAACCAAAATCATTGCGTTTCATCAGCAAGAGAGCACAGTTATAATGTTGTTCATTTTCCAAACACTAATCTAATCTCATTCAATTGTAGACAACTCCAGATAAAAACTAATATTAAAACTCTTTTCCCCAGAGATCACCAGCTCCCTCTAGTGTGGAGAGAACAGCTCTGATGCTCAGGACTTCTCATTCAACTTTTATATCTTTAATTTAATGCTCACTCTCAATCAAGACTTCAGTACCATCAGTTAGTAAACTGTTATTTTTTTCTTGCATGTAACCAGCTTAAAGACGATAAACCTTATTTCCATCAGTAGAAAGTCATTAGTGGTCCGACTGGATTTTAATCTTCACTATCTTGCTCAATTTAACCATGGGGCTTTACAGTCCTTCAGGTCTAAATCCATAAATGAATGGTGAGCTGGTATAAACAAACTCCAGGGATAGCCCGCTATAAGTATACTGCATTGACAAAAATAACCCAACATGGGAGAGTTGAAGGTCAATGGCCCATTGGGATTATTAAAGCCATGAAGTACGCACCATAGGCCCCTAACTGCAACAGCTCTTTACAATACTTCTACAAAACACAAACATCACAAAGCTAGTAAAGCCACAGTAGGGCATTAGAAGGGGTAAAATGATGTCTGTAGGATAAGGACAGGAGGTGATCGATGGGCCAGATACTGTATAAGGATCATGTCAGATTGTCAACAGCAGATAGCCTACTCACTAGCATGGATCTTCCTCTTCCATCGGCTGTTCCCAGACAGGAGAGATGACGTGGAACTGGAAGGTTCTGCAGGTGTGGGTAGGAGAGGGAGAGAATACGTAATAAGTAACACGTATCACATACAGTATTGATCTGTGCCAACACAACTGTGCCAACACATTTGAACTGGATGTCTGTCACACAACAATGATAAACGATTCTACAGTATAGTTCTAAATGTACAAGCAAACTAAGCAAATGAGGAGATCTTGTTACATAGTTTATGGGTGCTAGACAACTCCAATTCAGCCTTTGGGTGGCGTCGCAAACCTAAAACTGAGCCCAACGAATGTAGCGTGGAGAACAGAATAGATGTGGTCTATAGACAGCCAACAGACAGCCCTATCCGTGCAGCCGAACAGAATGTCCAGGCCAGTCACAGTACTCAGTGCTCCCCATGCCAAGACAACTATTCACTTAGTTAAGTCTCTGAAATCTGGGTGGGGATTTAACTGGAGGAGTGAGAGTCTCACACTGGGGGAAACATAGCATGGTGAGCTGCTCCGAACTCACTCAGACCCTATTAAACAAAGTCTATATCCCACAGGACCAGGGCTATATCACTAAACGGATGGAATAATTTCCTACATGCTCTAGACATCCAGACTGATGCCTGTAATGATGCTGGGAGAGAAGTTAGGCTGCTACAAGCCAAGGCTGTGGACGGGGAGAAAGGAGGGAAATAGCGATCGCTGTAGGAAAAATCATGAGGCCAATGTGTTTCTCATGGTGGTGAATGTCATGGAGACATGGACACCTTTCTTCTCCTGTGCAGAATCTTGTGGTTGGAGAGAAGTATTTGAGTGGTCCTGTTTCTTCGAGTCAGCACTGCAACTAGTCATGGACAACAGACACAAAGACAATAAGCAATGGCAAATATCCATTTGATTGTGAACAAGGACACATTCTGAGCATTGTGCTGTACAAGTGGACTCACGTCCTATTGGAGTCAGGCATGTCCAGGTCCACGGCCTCCTCTGCCACCTCAGGCACCGTGCGGGTGTACAGTCCATTCAACAGGCCCATGTATCTGCAGTCCCGCCCTGAAAACGTACCATCTTATTAGGCTATACATTCTGCCAGATTATTATAGCTATTTATGACACTACGTTTACTACAAACAAACAAGGATAGCTATGGTTATTAAGGTTTTTTGTAACGCTACTACCCTTACTATGTGTAATTATGCCTGGCTCTTTTTTAACTGCCTAGTATACACTGCCAGGTTGCATTATTGCTATGGTAATAACAGTACACAAATGTTACCTACTTTATACACTGAGTATATAAAACATTAAGGACACCTGCTCTTTCCATGACATAGAGTGACCAGGTGAATCCAGGCGAAAGCTATGATCCCTTATTGATGTCACTTGTTAAATCCACTTCAAATCAGTGTAGATAAAGGGGAGGAGAGAGGTTAAAGAAGGATTTCTAAGCCTTGAGACATTTGAGACATGCATTGTGTATGTGTGCCATTCAGAGGGTGAATGGGCAAGACAAAAAAATGAAGTGCCTTTGAACGGGGTATGGTAGCAGGTGCCAGGCGCACTGGTTTGTGCCAAGAATAGCAACGCTGCTGGGTTTTACACACTCAACAGTAATTATCCTAACCTATTGCGTAAGTTCTCCTAACCTGCTACGAAAGTCACTTCTGGTCGTAGCTGTATTCCACCTAGTCAGAACCATTATTTTGGCTACCATGGCTATGCTCCCCTAGGATGACAATCCCCCAATCCATAGGGCACGAGTGGTCACTGAACAGTTTGATGAGCATGAAAACAATGTAAACCATATGCCATGGCTGTCTCAGTCACCAGATTTTAACTCAATTGAGATTCTGGAGCGGCGCCTGAGACAGCATTTTCCACCAATATCAACAAAACACCAAATAATTGAATTTTATCATGGAGGAATGGTGTCGCATCCCTCCGATAGAGTTCCAGACACTTGTAGAATCTATGCCAAGGTGCATTGAAGCTGTTCTGGCTCGTGGTGGCCCAACGCCCTATTAAGACACTATGTTGGTGTTTCATTTATTTTGGCAGTTCCTGTATATACAGGTATAAATTGAGACTTTGGAAAAGTCTCAAGTTAAAACATAAATCAACATTTAAGAAACACCAACCATGTGATATGAAACATTACAGGGAACATTCATGCTAGTGATTACTTACAGAACCAAACTGAAGCCATGTTGACATTGTTTCATACATTCTTTTGAGAAGTTCCTCCAATTAGTTTAAGTACATTTCATAAACATAAAGAAAAGAAAAAACCTATACAAACATTATCTAGATATATACGTAAATATAATAATAATAATAATAAGCCATTTAGCAGACACTTTTATCCAAAGCGACTTACAGTCATGCGTGCATTTTTATTTTTGTGTATGGGTGGTCCCGGGGATCGAACCCACTACCTTGGCGTTACAAGCGCCGTGCTCTACCAGCTGAGCTACAGAGGACCACTATATGGGGCATGCTCAGTATCGGAATTAACCGAATATGTTGGTTAGGTTGTGTAGCATATTGTGGAAGTGTGCGTGTGTGTAATTGTCGAGGCAACACAGCTTCAACACACATACATGAACAATAGCCTACTTGAGCTGCTGATGGTAACTCCACAAACATTGATTGTCAGATTTGTTAGGATTCCAATACAGAATAACAAAAAAGCACCACTTGCAAATGAACTCTGCGAAAACTCTTGTAATGCAGACCAGATTTGACCCAGAGATGACCCAGAAATGACCCAACAGGAAAGATGAGAAAGACCCTAAAGAGAAACCCATAAAGTGAAAGGATACGTGTAATGTTCTATTACTATTATTTGATTTCAGTTCATAGTTGAGACGCTTTTGCATTAGGTGTAATGTATCGTTTGTTGTTGTGACAGTCAGTGACTGTGCTATTCGGGTAAAAGTACATTAACCTCAAACCTCTCCCTACTGTCACTCAGTCCCCCAAAAACAAATAACCGACCCGGGACTGAACAGGGGTGAGCGACACTGTCCAGGGAAATTCAGATGTGGTTAAGTGCATGGGAATGTGCCAGTCAACAGATGACAAGAGGTTTAATTGTGAACAGAGGTTATGCTTGTGACAGGGTCATTAATGTGAGGCTGCTGGTGCTATTTTTTAAATGCCTTTTTTCCAAAGTCTTTAACATTTAAATTGTTAATTCTGTTGTTAATTTGAAAGCTGTGAGAATGTCATAAATGTAATGGATCAACCATGCCATGCTATATGACAACCATTGGCAGCAAATTTCCAACAGTTAAAGCCATGGATTATAGCTGGTAAATTATGCAAAAATAAAATTAAAATTAAAGTGAGGAAGCAAGTAACTTATGTAATCAAATCAATTTATTTATACTTACAGCTTTAAATAGCATAAATTAAGCAACCCGTTCTATTCACTATGGAAAAATACAAGGTAGCAGACAAATTCTTATAAACACCTAAAATGTACAACAAAATATTCTGGAGCTGACTTGTGTATTAGGTGGAACATGAGAGAGCGCTTGAGAAGGTTTCTGAGAGGTAAGCGCCTTCTGCAACAGAGAATCACAAGGGGACATACACAGAGAAGTGGAGACAGGGAAGTTATTATGCATCAGATGGGGCAGCAAAAAAGTGGTTGAAAAAACTGCATGCAAAAACTTGGAGGCATTCAGACCTTGAACACGTTGTACGTTAACGCAGTTAGAAGGAGAGCAGCAGAGCATGTCTGTTAGTGGATTAGCTTGGAGGAATGGAAGGCTTTTGAAACATGCGTGTCATACACCTAGTGACTCAATTAACGAACAATGTGTGACTAATTAAATCAACCCGTTGTCATACACAGGACCCATGCCACATTCTCAACATGAATGGTAAATGTGTGGTTAAGAAGTGCTATGAAGGCAGCTAATGCAAAGCAACACTATTGATCATGTGACCCAAGCAGGCCATCACCTTCCTGCAGCCACAATTCAGCCAATCAGAGGTTGCAGCATTGGAAACTTGAAACAGGCTACATATGAAGTGAAAGAAAGAATGGAGAAATTAAAATGGGGATATATGGAAAGGAAAACATAAGATACATAAATACTTAGAATCACAAATTAAATAAAAGCTTTGTTGGATCACTGTACCATAACAGATAATTAGCAGAACAATAAGTCATAATACTGTACTACCGGAACAAGTTATTGATTGGAGAAATGAAAATGGGGATATATTGCACATCTACAACACTTCAGCACAAACATTTCTGTGATAATTCACATCTTAGAATATGTGCGGAAATGTGCATTAAATCCAAGGCTTGTGATACAAGCAACACAAAAGCAAAAAACTATAACTAAATATTTCAAAGAAGAAAATCTTTCTTTGGCAGAATTTGCTACAGTACCTGGTGTAGGAAGTCATAATTAGAATCTTCACAGTCTTTCCAGACATCTTTGTTTCTACCTGACTTATCTAAACTTTAACAACAATGAGAATCAGTTTTTCAAACAGATACATCTAAAATCAAATGTGTGTTCCACTAAACTGCACTAGACAAATCTATCAAAAATAATACGGTGTGAAAGCTGTTCTAAAACCTAAAATATACACATTAAAAAATTCAGACAAAATAGTTTTCAGAATCATCTTAATTACAAATAAAAGGTATTGTGAGAAAAAAAATACTGTTTGGCTTTTCCATTGCATGCCTCATGTGCAACATAGCAGTGCAGTTCAAGAAGCATAGCAGAACTTTGTTCTCCAACTTCCCACAACAAGCACACCAGGCACTACACACAGGCCTTAGCAGCCCCTGCAAGTCAAGTAAAGTGCTTTTAGTGGATCCTTTTTTGATTACTTAGGAGTTAAAAATAAATGTTTTACCCAAACATAAGCATGGGAATACTGAATTATAAGATTTCAAGCAATTGAAAGGATGCATGACCTTCTGCAATTTTAAGGACCATGCGTCACACTTGCTATAATACTTATGAACAAACAGATTGTTTCTCAGCGTAAAATCAAATAAGACTTTTGAAATTGAACCAGTCTTCATAGAGTATTGTACATTGTTTAGACTGTGAAGCAAATGCCTGTGCAACAGCAGCAAGTACAGTACAGTACAGGTGCATCATTAAGTCCATGAGACCCAGTGGCCCGGCGGCACCAGGCTCTGCCCCTCTAGGTGGGCCTGAGGCCTAGGCGCTGCTGGGCTCAGTGCAGTAGGCCGTGAGGCTGAGGCTGGGGCTCAGGCTGCTCAGCCTCCATGTACATCTGGCCCAGGAGCTCGTGCAATATGCTCAGTAGGGGCATGCCCAGACTCAGCAGCTCGTACAGGAAGCCGTAGTCCTCTGATCGGTCTATGAAGTGGAGCCCCGCCTGGCCAACTGCCCCATGCACCCAGCGGGCCAGCCGGCAGGGCGTCCCACACACTGCCCGGCCCACGTGCAGCGGCCAACGCAGGCTTCTCCTAAGGAAGGAACTCAGGGTACCTGAGGGCTGGTTCTGCAGGCTGCCCGTGGCCAAGTAGGGGTCACTCCGGTCCAGCGAAGACGTCAGACGTCCCTGGTCCTCCTGTGTGTGATAGGCACAACATACAATTTAAATCAGACCAGCTAAAATAACATTAATACCTCCTAAGTAAAAATGACTGTGTTTATGTTTGACTGTTACTGAAAGCTGTTTACCGTTCTCCGCAGGACCTTGCTTGAACTTTGAAGGCTGGGTCGACACTGAGAATAGTGAAGCTTGCAGTAAAACTTGCCTGTAACACAAACACTGTAAAAACACATGCCGGCTGACACTAAAGATCAAATTAATTCACAAACAGCTTCTGTCCCCAGGTGGGAGAGTGGCTGGTGTCTGGGTGTGTCAGCATCATACCCTGTTGGGAGTTGTAGGCGTGTCCTCCCAGGCGTAGTGTGGAGCTGCAGACGTCACAGCGGAAACACTCCCTGTGGAAGAAGTGTCCCTCAGCGCTGAGACGTTCCATCACGTACACACGCTTGGAGCAGAAGTGACACGTGTCACTGCCTCCCAGGTTCTGAGGGAACTCCTTCCGCATGATACACTGTAAGGAGACAACACAGACAACAGCAGCAGGTTAAGGATACGGAGAGAACAATGGAATAGGCAAGCTGTTAGCGTAGTCGTCTACTGCTAAAAAGTAATATATAGCACAATTTCTTCTAACAGTGTACAATATTAGGTGCTGGTGTGACCACCTAACAAGTCTCAACACCTAACCCTAAAGTGGATGTTAAGGCAGGCAGTGAGATGGAACTAGTGCAACGGAAGCTGAATAATATAACATGAAATGGGAACTGTAATATTAGTAGGGCATTTCTCCAGCACAGTGAGAGATGATAATGATGATGAATCAACAATTCTCTGGACCATAGCAGAGAACTAACTAGTCAAATACATTGGCTTCACAAAGCTACACAAGATTACATTTAGCGTTTGCTTTGCCTGCATAGTGAGGCAAAGATAAATGCTTCTTACTGCTATAGACCTGAAGACCTGAAGTGGGGTCAAACACTGTGTGAACAGACACCCACATGAGTGCATGGAGTTACTATTGCTGTGGCCCCTGAAGGCCCTTTACACAAAACACCATGGCTCATGACTGGAGAAGTCACAGTAAGATTCAGGTCAGAATGTTTTACAGTGCACAGTGCACAGTCGCTCTTTTCTACTAATAACAGATGTAGTATCCGGAAGCAGTAGACATGACTTGGTTGTTGTTTAGATGGTTACCAAAACTCCTGAAGCTGGTATTAGAGACCTTGGGGTGGTAATAGATATAGAGCCCACTTTTGTGTGTGTGTGTCTTGTGACGTATATTCCCACTGGGCTGTGTTGGCACAAACATAATCATTAGTCACACTGTGCTTACCGGCGAGGCATTAGGCCTGTGGTCAGTTTCATAAAGGATGGCTAGAGTTTCAGCCCTAGCACCTATGTGAGAAGAGACCTTCCCCACTGTCCTCTAACAGAACCCAGTCACAGAGGTAGAGGGAGGGACCAGCACAAAGACGGAGAAAGGGGAAAAGAGAAAGAGAGAGGAAGAGGGAAACAGAAAGGGAAAAAGTAAAGATCAGAATAGATCAAGGAAAACAAAGAAATGTATTTCTACTCAGAAATGAGAGGAGATGCAGAAAGTGAAGTTGTTACTGATACCTGTTTAGTAGGCTTAGAGGGCTCAGCTGGACAGCTTTCAGATCGAACAATTGTTTTTTGAATCATTCTACTTGGTGCAGCACTCTCATTGCACTAAAACCAATAAGAACATGGTAAGAGTGAGCTGATTTAATAGACGTACACTCTAAGAATCTTAATTTTTTTTTTACATTTCACATTTTTACTGATATCTGTTGGGCAGACTTTAAGGGTAGAGCTAGATAACTCTCCGATCAAATTATTCTACTTGACTCAGCATTCCCATTGCACTAAAAGCAAAATAAATGATGGTCAGAGTGAGCTGACGCAACGGTGTCTTCTGTTCTTACATTTCAGATGTAGAGTGAGGTTTTTACCGATACCTGTTCGGTGGACTTTAAGGGGCCAGCTTCATAACTCTCAAATCGATTGATTGGCTTTTGAATACTTGATCCAGCAGTCCCGTTGCACTTAAATCATCAAAAAGACGGTGAGCTGACTTAAGTCTTTCTTTTATTCATACAAATTAGTTTTCTTTTACTGAAACCCGTTTGTCAGGCTTGAAGGGTTCAGAATGACAGCTTTCAAATTGATCAATTGACTTTTGAATGAGTCTACTTGACGAAGCATTCCCGTTGCACTAAAACCAATAACAACATGGCCAAAGTGAGTTGACTGAGTTGAGTCTTTCCTATATTCTTACACTTCAAATGCATTTCAAATTACTGGTACCTGTTCGGCGGACTTGTCAGGCTTGAAGGGTTCAGCTTGATAACTCACAGAACGTTTGATTGGCTTTTGAATGAGTCTACTTGATGCAGAACTTCCATTGCACTAAAACCATAAAAAACATGGTCAGAGTGAGCTGATATTCTTGGAGTTTTGGCTGGTCACAGAGGACCACAACAAGGACCGTTTTTACCTTGTCTTGGTGCACAGGAGATGTTGCGGTAAGAGAAGAGAAGCAGGAAAGAGCAGAGGGTTCAGGGACAGTGTGTATTGAAGTGCTTTTAGGGACAAAGGCAGACAGATCCGTCTGTAGAAAAAGGATTCACATCAGAAATGAGAGAAATCTCCAAATCATCTAGCCCTTCACATCCCACCCCAAAAATAATGAGGAGATGCAAGCTGAATGTAAGTCGGAGAGAAACAAATGGTCAGAGAAAAATTCAACAGCTCAACCTTTATCTTTTCTAGTGAAGTTATGAATGTTCACTCATCATGCAGAGGGAAGTCACCTGACCTGGAATTCTCAGAACTGTAACACCATGGAAACAAGACATGCTGCAAGAAAACAACTGCCAACAAATGGATTTAAAATGGATTACCAAGCTGTTACCAGCCTTCAAAAACATGCTCCACTCTCAGTAAATGTGAGTAGGTTTGACTGGTGACATTATATCCTTCTAAACAGGCTGAGACAGTCAAACAGAACTTGTGTACAGGGACACAAACATGCTGTGCCTCATTTCCTTAGATGGGGTTAGACAGGCAGGCAGGCGAGGGGCGGCACAACACTTTCACCTTATACTCTTTCACTTGAGGAGTCTCTGACTCAGGGAACATAGAACGCAGGAGCACTGCCCTATCCTTTATACTCTTCCTGTTAAATTCCCCAGTAGTTACAGTTTACAGTAGTTACTTTTTTCTGAAGAACAGCAACAAGTAAAGGAAAGATAAGCAAGTGTGAAAGTCAGAAACGGCAGGAAGTAGGCAAGTAAATACTGAACAGTAACCATAATCCATAGTAAAGCTGATGACGTGGGGTATGAACACTGTTTATACATTTTGTATCTTTTGAACAATGATGTTTTTGTTGCCGAGTTGTGCTGTCTGCTAGACTTTTGTGGCTAAGGCACAATTGGATTTACTGTTTTGAAATGAGCATAAAATCAATTTCCACGCAAAACATTTTTACTGTGAGAGTACAGAAGTAAGGCATGGCTTGGAATGGGGCTAACATGGTGGGTCCAGACAGATAGAATGCAGGCTCATTGTCACCTGGCTCATCTTGTCCTCCAGCTTCTCTAGGCGCTGGCCCACCCCTGTGGGGTCAGGAAAAGGGTGTTCTGGGTAATCTACACCATCTGGGGTTTCAGTGTGTGGAATCCACACTCTCTGCTGCACCAACTCCGCGCGCGGAGAGGCCTGTGTATGATCATCATGTGGAGAAGGACTCCAGGACCTCGTGGGAATGTACAGGGGAGTGGGTTGCGCCACGGCTGCAGGCTCTTCTAAGAGTTGCATATAGATGGACGGCTGAAAGCAGATATACACACACAAAGCAATGTGTAAAGCAGCACTGAACTCCAGCCAGTAGAGGGCGAACCTCCAGGATCATCAGTGAGTGGAGTAAAGGGAGTGTCTTTTCAATTACTCTTGGTCTAGAAGACTATGGTGATTTTTAACCATTGGTTCTTTTGTTAACATAGGCTACGTTATTGGGTTTATGATGCAGTGGCTGACCCTTCATGGTGACTGTACCTGCCACTTGGGGCGTGGGAGTGGAGGCGAGGGAGGGGGCTGTTCCCTGGGCTTAGCGAAGCGAGGGTTCTCCGTCATATCCAGAGAAGGAGATGAAGGACGGCTTGAATCAGAGTCTGAGTGCAAATAAGACTGACAGAGCAGCAGACATCAGATAAGGCAGGAAGGGAAGGACAAGCAGGAGGAATAGGAAAAAACAGATGATAAAGCGGTGCAGAATTATTTGTTGTTTCGGTAGTATCATTCAAAACCACACACTGCCGTCATCCATTACACTTTATACGGGTGGGTCTAATCCTGAATGCTGATTGGTTAAAACCGCATTCCAGCCGGTGTCTATTCCAAAAGTTACCACCGGCTAAATCTATGACGTTAAAATGCCTATTAGCTCTGTTCCATCTGACTGAGCAATCCACTGTCTCATCAGCCCAGACAGGCAATTTATAAACTTGATCTCCACTATAAAAAGCATCTAAAAAAACATTTTTAGACTCTTACTTTTCAACAGCGGAGATTTGTATAAACCTTGCTGTCTGCTTTTCTCAGCCAGTCGAAATCATGAATCAGCATCATTTTTATGGATATATACAAAGAACTATCAATAGAAAACAGGTACAACTAAATGAAGTGCAGGTAGAGTGGGGAAAAAAAGTATTTAGTCAGCCACCAATTGTGCAAGTTCTCCCACTTAAAAAGATGAGAGAGGCCTGTAATTTTCATCATAGGTACACGTCAACTATGCCAGACAAATTGAGGAAAAAAAATCCAGAAAATCCCATTGTAGGATTTTTAATGAATTTATTTGCAAATTATGGTGGAAAATAAGTATTTGGTCACCTACAAACAAGCAAGATTTCTGGCTCTCACAGACCTGTAACTTCTTCTTTCAGAGGCTCCTCTGTCCTCCACTCGTTACCTGTATTAATGGCACCTGTTTGAACTTGTTATCAGTATAAAATACACCTGTCCACAACCTCAAACAGTCACACTCCAAACTTCACAATGGCCAAGACCAAAGAGCTGTCAAAGGACACCAAAAACAAAATTGTAGACCTGCACCAGGCTGGGAAGACTGAATCTGCAATAGGTAAGCAGCTTGGTTTGAAGAAATCAACTGTGGGAGCAATTATTAGGAAATGGAAGACATACAAGACCACTGATAATCTCCCTCGATCTGGGGCTCCACGCAAGATCTCACCCCGTGGGGTCAAAATGATCACAAGAACGGTGAGCAAAAATCCCAGAACCACACGGGGGGACCTAGTGAATGACCTGCAGAGAGCTGGGACCAAAGTAACAAAGCCAACCATCAGTAACACACTACGCCGCCAGGGACTCAAATCCTGCAGTGCGAGACGTGTCCCCCTGCTTAAGCCAGTACATGTCCAGGCCCGTCTGAAGTGCATTTGGATGATCCAGAAGAGGATTGGGAGAATGTCATATGGTCAGATGAAACCAAAATATAACTTTTTGGTAAAAACTCAACTCGTCATGTTTGGAGGACAAAGAATGCTGAGTTGCATCCAAAGAACACCATACCTACTGTGAAGCATGGGGTTGGAAACATCATGCTTTGGGGCTGTTTTTCTGCAAAGGGACCAGGACGACTGATCCATGTAAAGGAAAGAATGAATGGGGCCATGTATCGTGAGATTTTGAGTGAAACCCTCCTTCCATCAGCAAGGGCATTGAAGATGAAACGTGGCTGGGTCTTTCAGCATGACAATGATCCCAAACACACCGCCCGGGCAATGAAGGAGTGGCTTCGTAAGAAGCATTTCAAGGTCCTGGAGTGGCCTAGCCAGTCTCCAGATCTCAACCCCATAGAAAATCTTTGGAGGGAGTTGAAAGTCTGTGTTGCCCAGCGACAGCCCCAAAACATCACTGCTCTAGAGGAGATCTGCATGGAGGAATGGGCCAAAATACCAGCAACAGTGTGTGAAAACCTTGTGAAGACTTACAGAAAACGTTTGACCTGTGTCATTGCCAACAAAGGGTATATAACAAAGTATTGAGAAACTTTTGTTATTGACCAAATACTTATTTTCCACCATCATATGCCAATAAATTCATTAAAAATCCTACAATGTGATTTTCTGGATTTTTTTCCCTCATTTTGTCTGTCATAGTTGATGTGTACCTATGATGAAAATTACAGGCCTCTCTCATCTTTTTAAGTGGGAGAACTTGCACAATTGGTGGCTGACTAAATACTTTTTTCCCCCACTGTAGCTTCAGTTTGAAGTGATTGTGTTAGCTGTGTTGTTGGCTGGCTCCTCTGAACAACAGTGTCCTGAAGAGTGAGCACATTTTCTACGCCAGGCAAAATCGCGCATCATTAGCTCATTATATGGATGTATCCAAATAAATGTCAATAGAAAACAGCTTAAACAAATGCAAATGCAGCTACTTTGCTGTTATTCTGGCTGCACTGTTTGACATGACTGTAAATTAGCCGTAGTTGGCTAGCTAGCAAGCAACGGATAAGAACGATGCCAGCTAGTATGGCAATGGAACATTTAGAACGAACGACTGGGTCGCATCCATAAATACTGAACAAAAAGACTGAATGACTGGGTCGCGTCTCTGGCAACCGAACCAATAGAACGAACGACCAGCCAGCTTGGGTAGCAACCCTAGATTTGTGTTGGGACTATATTTTGTGGAAGGATGAAATAGTATGAATAAATTCATCAAAATAACGTTTTTAATGAAAATATGTAAATCATTATTTGAATATGTTGGTAACCCGTTGTATAAAAGTGATAATGTCCTCGAAGCTGGTGTTTGGAGGATATATTGGCACGGTTTGCTGGCCATCGACTTCGTCTCGGGCCTAACAACACCTGTGCCAATATATCCTCAAAACACCGGCTTCTCTGGCATTATCACTTAAGTATTTGTACCATAACCATCCCCATGGTATTCCACACCATAATCAGACATTTAAAGGCATTTAGTTAAAGAGCATTTGAACGAATGCCCTGCTAACAGAGCCACTCAGTCCTTTGATGGGGCTTCACAGGCAGATTATACTGTATTCACTTCTGTATCAAGGTTTCAAATGCACAACCTGCTTTCTTTAATCCTATAATCCAGGAACAGCCTCGCTCTTCTTATAGTGGAGCAGCTAAGATTACTGTGTGACTAATGTAGTGGTTGATATACTAGAAGTATGTTATTGGTGGAAGTAAAACGATACAGTAAATGTATCTTCAATCTCTTCATAGCTTTCTTGACCATTACCAATAAACTACACCTCGTCAAAACTTTGTACTCAAACCGTACCCAAGGGTAGTGGCAGGAGGAGTGGAGGATTTGTCCACTTTTACAGTCTTACAACACAATGGGCTGTATTCAAACATGATTATGGTAGCAGTGAGGTTGCAGAATTGGATACAAGGACATAAGTGCTCTCCCCTGGTGTAAAAGCAGGTCTATGAAATGAATTTCATCCTTTTCCAAACTCTCTCAGAACTGTATGTACCATCGAGAACCAGTAGGTTCCACATAGTGCCTTCATTATCTGACATTTCCACACAAAAACATTCCCCGTGTATGATTAAACCTAGACAGACAGACAGACACACTCATACAATAGTACAGATTACTACATTCAGATATGATCAACCATCAGAGAATGAACTGACCGACACGACACAAGCTTTCAGTCTTAGCTTTGAGGTCAGTAGCATGATGTTGGGCCAACATCCGTGTACAACAGAAGAGTCTTACAGTAACCATCAGCACTGAGGGCATCAACAGTTTATTGTCTGTATGCGACTTTACAATGTGTTGGCTCCCTTTTTTCACTGTCTCTACACAGCACAGTGTACAGGGACCTTGACCATTGACCCCTCTGGTCAGAGTACTGTTCACCTGGAGCGGCTCACCTTATTGTGCAGGGAACCGCCGGGCGATGCATTCTCCTCAAACTTGGCCAGTAGCTGTGTGGCCATTGAGCGCACTTTATTCTGCTCCCCGCCGTCACCTGCAGGGGGGGCACTCTGACAGGACAACTGACAACACAATGAATGATCAGTCCCTTTATCGACATTAAAATGGCGCCATCTAAGGCCATACTGGTGATCGAGATCTGATTGTTGTTGTCACCAACACACCTCCTCTAAATAGTTGCTGCCCTTTCTTCGTCTTTTGTTCATTGGGTCGTTCTCCTCCAGCTTCCGGTCATCCTTTGAGGAAAAGGTAGTACAAAATAGACATAAATCACTGTTTATTCACCCTCATTCACGTCACAGTCAAAGGTTATCGAGTCTGAGGGTTATCATTAAGAAAGTATGCCTTGTAAAATGTAGATTATCTAGGTCTCTCAGTCTCGTTCACATACAGTACCTTATCTAATCTACATTTCAATGACTTCTTGTAATTTATTGGCACATAGGAATTTATTTCATCTGTCAAGTAAACCTGTTGACACACACACACACTTTACGCAGGCTAAATCGGATTTACATGAAGGAGGCCTTTGTTGTTGCATTGGTTTCCTTTTAAAGCCTGCAAATGGGTGAGGAGGAGAGGAGGAACTCACAGTACCTTTGGGATCCTTTTTTTGGGCTGTGTTTGGTTAATTAAGTTGTAAACCAAGTATGCAGACTCTGATGAATACTCCTCATTGTTCTCATCCGTTTCCCTTGTACCTGTAACAAAGCATAGCAGTGTGTTATGGGTGTTCTGGTACGCGACATACTCTAATACACACACTGTATTAAACCAGGCCCCTAGGCCAAGCCAAATCAAGAGGGTAACGAGATAGAGTAATGTGAAAATAAACCCCCAAACAGTTGTATCCACAATTCAAAATGGATTCATTTTGATTAATCACCAAGTGTTAGACACTATTGTGAGGGCATTACAATAGTCAGTGGGCTGAAACATTAGTATTTAAGTGAATGAATTCTCAGCCATTTAACATAACTCCTACTGTATTCAATAAAGGCAGCCCTATAGATCATAGAGGCATTGTTATTACCATGGCCCTGTGAGATGATCTGAACTGGGGCCGGAATGCATTTCTTACATACCACACTCTCATAACTGACCCGGTTGTGTAACATGCAATCCTATCCCATCGTGACAGATGTAAAAAGTCATAACCGCTCAGTCACACACTATCCTCATTATGGGTTCAAGCTTAAGCTTAATCTAACCTTCAGAATCCTGCAAATAAATCATACCTCAGGAGTAGTAAAACTCCAAAGTTATGGAGTAGTTCATCGAGAATAGTAAGTAGTATATCAAAATTATTTAAATTTAAATTTAAATGAAGAATGTTCGTTAACATATCAGACTTCAGGGTCCCATTACGCAACCATTGTGCATGGAGTTTCAACTTCTGGGGCTTCAGGAATTAGACTATTGAGCTACTGCAGGAACTGTTCTGTAGTGTGTGTAGTCTCCCTAGACATCCAGAATGCCTCCCACAATTTTCAAATGTTCCGACGTTCACGTCTGTACGTAATAGAACGTCAGTTTGGCATAGAGGAACTATGTCACTGCCTACAGTAGGACACTGCCTTATCCACTTGAATAAAAGACAAAATAGTAGCTAGCAAGATGGAGCTCACAGAGGTTATTTTTAACCTTTTCACACGTGAGTTCTAAATATCTCTAAAGGTCGCCCCAGTTTGAGTGTTTTTATGCTTGTGATGTGAGAATGCACTCACTGTTCCAAAATGTGATTGTTACGCAACAGGACAGTTGACCTGCGCTGCCCTCAAACCAAGACACACGCTGCCTTCTAATTATCTATAGGCTATATTTCAACTTGTCAATTAGAAATTATTTTCTAACAAGTTTTTCACTGTTGCGGACAATTTATGTTTGAGGCTTTACTGGACACTTCTCTCTTCGATGAGAGCCCAAGCACCTCCCCAGTGTTTCCCCAGATCAAGTATGCAGACACTTGCGCAGTCTAGCATGAACTTTCCCCCCTGGCACATTTTCTGGCTGGCGCCCGCATTGTCTTCTTGTTGTTTCCTTACAAATAATAACTTTGTGTGCGTTCCTATCAAAGTAAGTGCCTTATTTTCTGTATATCGTGTTGTCGTTTCTACTGTAGCATACCATATGTATGCATGGAGCATAATGTATTTACTGTTTTATTCAAGTTTTCAAGTACTGGTGACAAATCACGCATTCCAATTCTTGCATAGATTGTAATGGACATATAGGATATGTGTAAAATGCTTTTTTGAGGGTTGTACTGATTATGATGAGCTAATGCTAAGCTATTTGCCAGCTGTGTGTGGCGCCATGTTTGTTGACATTATACAATGCATTCTGGGTGTCACGTAAACGTCTGTTTTGTTGGGAGAGTTTTTGGTCTGAAGCGAATTCACACCGGAATTATTTTCCCCCCCCTTATCGAAGTTGCCAAAATAGTAATTTCTGTTTCCTAGGGTCAGGTTTTTGAGACTATACTGTGTGAGGCATCAGAGGAGGTGTGAGAGAATGACTCCGAACAGCAGCCTACCAGTGATGGATGCAGGCGAGTTGCGGAACATCTCGTAAAGCTTGGAGATGTACAGCACCATCATCAGCTTGTCAGGGTCCTGGTCCAGAGCCATCTCCTTCCCCGTGGTCACAGGCTGGATACCAAACTCATGCTCTGCTATGTCAAAGGCCAGCTGGTTGTTCTTGGCCGAGTCCTTCTCATTCAGGGAGTCAAAGTCACTAGGATTGAGAGAGATACATAGAAGACGCATCAGGTTTACATCCTATAAGACCTTAATTAAGTTGTTTCCCCTATGGAGTGAGAATGTTAGCCCCAAAACAGTTGGTTGATAAGAGAAAAATGTTGGTTTAATGCTGCATTTTATAATAATTACACTTTCTGCACCAACAGACTCTTACCAACAGATGAATTGCACTAGCTGAAAGGTGAGGTCTAAGGCCCTTAGCAACAGCCCATAGTAATGTTATAAACACATTGTAAACATTTCCTTTCCATAAAAAGGTTCAATTCAGAAGGGACTGTCGAATCACATCTACCTGTGACACAGAGAAGGGGGGGGGGGGTGGGGGGGGTGAGCCAATTGGGAGCTAGAGCCAGAGTGATGAGGTCATCCCGGCTGCACCCCCTCAGCCCACACTCATATTGACTCTCACACAAAGATGACTTGAGCGGGCCAAATTGACAAAGCATAAAGGATAAAACACCCACTTGTTATTGAGGTAAAATGGAAACATTTCAAGGCGTGGAGTTCATTAACAGTGCCATCAGTATCTAATACGGTTAGAACAAATGCTTTATAAATATAATTGGGTGTGCAATATGAAAGCCAAACCAGAATGCTCGCTTTCCTTTTTGTGTGGTTTAGGCCATTTCTCATTTCTCTATTTAGACAAACCTAGCTGTTGCCCGCAAAGGTCAGTACACACAGCGCAGTTTCTGAGTTTAACAGAAGTGTTGTCTACAGTATAATCAATATCACTGTTCACATTTTCAACAGCATAACATGTGACAGACCCAAAGGCAGTGCATGACCATAGACAAGATGACAATCGGTGTGTGCTTTGATGGCGCCAATAAGACCATGACAGTGTATGTGTGTGTGTGTGTGTGTGTGTGTGTACTGTATATACAGTGCCTTCAGAAAGTATTCACACCCCTTTACTTTTTCCACATTTTGTTGTGTTACAGTCTGAATTTTAAATTAATTAAATTGAGATTTTTTTGTCACTGACCTACACACAATACACACATTTTTTGTTTTAAAGATCAATTAAAAATGAAAAGCTGAAATGTCTTGAGTCAATAAGTATTCAACCCCTTTGTTATGCCAAACCTAAATAAGTTCAGGAGTAAAAATGTGCTTAACAAGTCACATAATGAATTGCATGGACCCACTCCGTGTGCAATAATAGTGTTTAACATGATTTTTATTTATGGCTACCTCATCTCTGTACCCCAAACATACAATTATCTGTAAGGTCCCTCAGTCGAGCAGTGAATTACAAACACAGATTCAACCATAAAGACCAGGGAGACATTGAATATCCCTTTGAGCATGGTGAAGTTATTAATTACACTTTGGATGGTGTATCAATACACCCAGTCACTCACTACAAAGATACAGGCGTCCTTCCTAACGCCGTTGCCGGAGAGGACAGAAACCGCTCAGGGATTTCACCATGAGGCCAATGGTGACTTTAAAACAGTTACAGAGTGTAATGGCTGTGATGGGAGAAAACTGAGGATGGATAAACAACATTGTTATTACTCCACAATATTAACCTAATTGACAGGAGTGAATAGAGGGAAGACGTTCCACAGAGTGGGCAGAGTGTCTGCGTCTTTTCGCTCCTCCCTTGTACTTGATTGATAAATTAAGGTCACTGATTACTAAGGAACTTCCCTCACCTGGTTGTGTAGGTCTCAATTGAAAGAAGAAGAAAAAAAAAAAACTACAGACACTAGGCCCTTTGAAGTTATGCGATAACAAGAGGGGGAGTAGAGAGAGAGAAGTAGAGGGAGAGAAGTTGGTGTCAGAGAGGTTGGCATCAGTTGCTGGGACGGATACTATCTGTTTAGTGATCCTGACGACCAAGGCCGGGTCTGAGGAGCTGCTTGTCTTAGCAGCTAGACTAGCCGCCTACAGTGGGGAAAAAAAGTATTTAGTCAGCCACCAATTGTGCAAGTTCTCCCACTTAAAAAGATGAGAGGCCTGTAATTTTCATCATAGGTACATGTCAACTATGACAGACAAATTGAGATGTTTTTTCTCCAGAAAATCACATTGTAGGAGTTTTAATGAATTTATTTGCAAATTATGGTGGAAAATAAGTATTTGGTCACCTACAAACAAGCAAGATTTCTGGCTCTCACAGACCTGTAACTTCTTCTTTAAGAGGCTCCTCTGTCCTCCACTCGTTACCTGTATTAATGGCACCTGTTTGAACTTGTTATCAGTATAAAAAGACACCTGTCCACAACCTCAAACAGTCACACTCCAAACTCCACTATGGCCAAGACCAAAGAGCTGTCAAAGGACACCAGAAACAAAATTGTAGACCTGCACCAGGCTGGGAAGACTGAATCTGCAATAGGTAAGCAGCTTGGTTTGAAGAAATCAACTGTGGGAGCAATTATTAGGAAATGGAAGACATACAAGACCACTGAAAATCTCCCTCGATCTGGGGCTCCACGCAAGATCTCACCCCGTGGGGTCAAAATTATCACAAGAACGGTGAGCAAAAATCCCAGAACCACACGGGGGGACCTAGTGAATGACCTGCAGAGAGCTGGGACCAAAGTAACAAAGCCTACCATCAGTAACACACTACGCCGCCAGGGACTCAAATCCTGCAGTGCCTGACGTGTCCCCCTGCTTAAGCCAGTACATGTCCAGGCCTGTCTGAAGTTTGCTAGAGTGCATTTGGATGATCCAGAAGAGGATTGGGAGAATGTCAGATGAAACCAAAATAGAACTTTTTGGTAAAAACTCAACTCGTCGTGTTTGGAGGACAAAGAATGCTGAGTTGCATCCAAAGAACACCATACCTACTGTGAAGCATGGGGGTCGAAACATCATGCATTGGGGCTGTTTTTCTGCAAAGGGACCAGCACGACTGATCCGTGTAAAGGAAAGAATGAATGGGGCCATGTATCGTGAGATTGAGTGAAAACCTCCTTCCATCAGCAAGGGCATTGAAGATGAAACGTGGCTGGGTCTTTCAGCATGACAATGATCCCAAACACACCGCCCGGGCAATGAAGGAGTGGCTTCGTAAGAAGCATTTCAAGGTCCTGGAGTGGCCTAGCCAGTCTCCAGATCTCAACCCCATAGAAAATCTTTGGAGAGAGTTGAAAGTCTGTGTTGCCCAGCGACAGCCCCAAAACGTCACTGCTCTAGAGGAGATCTGCATGGAGGAATGGGACAAAATACCAGCAACATTGTGTGAAAACCTTGTGAAGACTTACAGAAAACGTTTGACCTGTGTCATTGCCAACAAAGGGTATATAACAAAGTATTGAGAAACTTTTGTTATAGACCAAATATTTATTTTCCACCATAATTTGCAAATAAATTCATAAAAAATCCTACAATGTGATTTTCTGGATTTTTTTTCTCATTTTGTCTGTCATAGTTGACGTGTAGCTATGATGATAATTTCAGGCCTCTCTCATCTTTTTAAGTGGGAGAACTTGCACAATTGGTGGCTGACTAAATACTTTTTTTCCCCACTGTATATATCCAGGAAAGCCAAAGTTCCAAAAGCTGGACCTAAAATAGAGTAAAATATTTAGCTGACTCTTATGGGGATTATGTAAAAAAAATATTTGCTGGTCTGATGTGATTAATAAGGAGCATCCAGATGCTGCATTTGATTAATTTATGAAATTGCTTCTTCCAATTATTGATAAACATGCACCTGTTAAGAAACTGACTGTTTGAACTGTTAAGGCTCCATGGATTGATTTGGAATTGAAAAACTATGGTTGAAGGAAAATGGGGCAAAAGGAGTGGCTAATAAGTCAGGCTGCACATCTGACTGGCTGACTTACTGCAAATTGAGAAATTATTTACATTTTAGTCATTTAGCAGACACTCTTATCCAGAGCGACTTACAGTTAGTGAGTGCATACATCGTTTTTTTTCCCATACTGTGACTAAACTCAAAAAAAGAAGAAGAAACTGTATTATGAAGCCAAGATCAATGATATAAAGAATGATGGGAAAAAATGTGGAGTACTTTAAATGAAATGATGGGCAGAAAGACAAATCCAACTCCATCTTTCATCGAATCAGATGGCTTATTCATCAGAAAACCATTTGATGTGGCAAATTATTTTAATGATTACTTCCTTGGCAAAGTGGGCAAACTCAGGCAGGAAATTCCAACAACGAATAGCAAGCCATAGTACTCATGCATAAAAAAACTAATAATGAAAGATAATCATTGTAAGTTGGAATTTTGTAAATGTATTGTGGGACAGGTGGAACAATTGTTATCGATCATTAATGACAAAACCTCATGGAAAGATACTGAGGATGGTAGCTGACTCTAAAGATATGACAGATAGGAGTGCCTATAGTCTGAGCCTAGAGGAAAGTCTTCGTCCTCAGACCTGGAGGGAAGCCAAAGTGATTTCGCTACCCAGGAGTGGTAAAGCGGCCTTTACTGGTTTTAACAGCAGATTATCAACTTGCTGCCAGCTCTTAGCAAGCTGTTGGAAATAATGGTGTCTTACCAAATACAATGCTATTTCTCTGTAAACAAATTAACAGACTTTCAGTATGCTTATAGAGAAGGGAACTCAACATGTACTGCACTGACACAAATGACTGATTATTGGTTGAAAGAAATTGATAATAAGAAGATTGAGGGCGCTGTACTGTTAGATTTCCGTGCAGCCTTTGATATTATTGACCATTACCTGTTGTTGAGAAAACGTATGTGTTATGGCTTTTCAACCTCTGCCATATCATGGATCCAGAGCTATAATAGAGCTCAGAGGGTTTTCTTTAATGGAAGCTTCTCTAATGTCAAACTTGTCAAGTGTGGTGTACCGCAGGGCAGCTTCCTAGGCCCTCTACTCTTTTCACCAATGACCTGCTGCTGGCATTAAACAAAGAATGTGTGTCCATGTATGCTGATGAGTCAACCATATACACATCAGCAACCACAGCTAAAGAAGTCACTGAAACCCTTAACAAATAATTGCAGTCTGGTTTAGAAGGGGTGGCCAGTAATAAACTGG